GGCTGTTGAAAAAAGGGCGCATCTCGTGTCCTGGCCGTGGCCGTGGGCGCGCGGTCGCCTCTTGAAGTCTCCTTCGATACATTACGTAAGATCGCCGTGGAATGTCGCGTCTTTTTAACGCGTAACACGTACTCTTAATCTGAACCGTACTTCTCGAAAAAATATTATCCACGCGTGAGAAGTGGACAGTGGCGGGATGCGAGTCCCGCGAAACTTGCAACTGCGTTATCAAGAAGAAAACAGAAGAAGAAAAGGAAAAGATCGAAATACCTCGAATTGGGTTGAAAGAACTCAATTTCGGGGCTATGCATGGCGAACCGACCGACTTGATCTCTTCAGTAAGATTTTGTTATTGCACTTGAGAAAACTTTACGTTATTTATTATATTATCATGAAACTTGTGAGAGAATAACTTGAAATCATTCTACAAAGTTTACGCTAGATACGTTTGCCCTGCGAGCGTGTTAGTTAACTAATATACAATGTATCTATTAATAAACATGTTCCATTATTAGAGAAACATATATGACGTCGACAAGGTAATTCTTATTCGTTCCAACTCGATTGCAGCCTCTGCGACGAAATTTACATAAGACTTGGTTCCCCTTAGGCAATTACTTATCACCGCAGCTTTTCCGAGTACCACTTCTCGTCCCGTGATTACCAAACCCGTAATTTCGAGATTTCTTCCTCCCCTTCCCCCGTTTTTCGGCCAGGAGCGTTTAAAGCCTCCCGCTGCGAGCGATTGAACGCTTTACGAGACGTTATCCTTTTTTTCTCCCCCAACGGCTTCCCCCGCTATCTTTCGACTTAATCTGTGTAACCTGCCAGATGGACAGAGGAATTATCTACGGGACGGGACAGGACGAAGGAGAAGAGGAAGAAAAAGAAGAAGAAACGCCGGATGCTCTATGGATCGACCGGCTCTAGCCGCGACAGCCCCGGCGAGATGCTTTACGACGCACTACGGTCAGCCGCGATACCGCTCAGGTGAGCGGTAATGCGCGTGCTGAACGCATAAATTGCAATTCCGCAGGGCGCGCGCATTCCGTATTGTTCCCTCTAATAAACCGGGATAAGCGAGAATGCGCGCGAGCGCGTGAGCACGCCGATTAAGAGCGCCCACGAAAGGGAGATAAATGCGCGCGAGTCCTTGCTAATTGCGGCCGCGGCCGGCTTTCGTTTTCTCTGACCAAAGCGCGCGTTGTCGCGCGACATTGTATATTAGCATATACAATGAAGCTAAAGATATAAATAACAGAGTAAGTATCTGTTCCTCTCTCTCTCTCTCTCTCTCTCTCTCGGAGGAGGAGGAGGAGGAGGAGGAGGAGGAGGAGGAGGAGGATAAAAATAGAACGCCGCGCGAATTAACTAAGAGGATAAATCAGAATAAAATATTATGTATGTAAGATTCAAAATGACGGAGTCCGAGGACGGAACAGTGCGCTCACTTTCTCCTTCGAACTCTTCAAACCGCTTTCAGATGTGATTTGTGTCTTCGAAGAAAAATAAGAAGAAAAGATAGTAATCGGCGCCTGTTTTTTTTTAAGAAGGGAAGAAGAAAGAAATTGAAATGATCTGTTTTTGTTACTTGAGAAGAAAAAAGGACGAAAGTGATTGGTGACGGAATTCTGTAAAATAACTCGGTAACTTGATCGACGTCGAAACGATGACCCCGTGTCATCGTTTAGTTTCATCTCTATTAGCCGCGACCGCGAAGGGACACCCGGTAGGTCTAGCACACCCTGTATACGCGCAAACATCTGTTCTTGTGGTGTGAAATAATCGCACGCATAAATAAACCACGACAGAACCGCGACGTGCGTGTCTCACGTGAAGCGGGCAGAAAAACGCGACTTCGCCGTTCACGATCCGCAGTGCCGAAAAAGTCGCGGCGAGCCGAAGCTCCCAATGAAATCCCGCAGAACACGCGATACCCCGCGAGATATTCCTGTATCGCGTAATACCGATTTCGACTTCTCGTGTACCTCGACAAATATTTTTCAGCAATTACGAGTCGAATCGCAGGGTCATCCATCGAGCGAAGAACCCGCGAAGACGCGGGCGAGATTCCAAACAAATCGTATCGTATTTTCATATTAGAGAAGACCGAGACAGGCTAGTTATGTATTTTATATTTATATATTATATATATCGCGAGAGAAATTTCAAATGTTCCTCTTGCAACACGAGTACTTTACGTATCGAGAATGCGTTTAATGGAAACCGGGAGGATATTTAAGATTATAATAAAAATAATCAGAGTATATAATTAGAAAAGAGAGAAGCCCATAAATTTCCAAGCGTCTCGAAATTTCATGTTAATACTCTCCATCGTGAGCGAGTATAAACTCAGGTAACTTGTTATTAATTACCCGGGGAATGAAGTTTCCTGCAACTGTGCATAATCTACTACGTTGAATGATAAAAATAATTTTCATCGATTAAAATCAAATCAATAAAAAAAAAAAAATACGATTAAAATCACTAATGACGTAAAGATTATAGACAAGTATACGTGATGATAAAATTCTAAAAAGTTTAGGAACCTGCTTGTATGTCGACGTCCCCAAACGATTGATCACGCGATTGATCACGCGATTTCTCTTTCGCGAAGGAGACAATCACGGCTTCGTCCCTGACGTCTGTCGAATTGCCTCGTTAATCCGGCAAAATTAGGACTTGCAGAAAACACGCACCGCGCGCAACGATCTCGCGGGTCGATCTCGAGACGACGGAGAACGTATATCTTATCTCTCTCGCGAGCGATGCGTCGCGCCGCGCTGTTGTGTAAAGCGACGCGAAAGAAGAAGTGATCTCTCGATGAAGCGGCCAATTAATTTCGGAGATATCCTTATCGTTCGCGCTCTCTCGCGCGCGGATGTGCGCAACGCGAGCGGGCGATCGATCGTGCCCGAATATCTGTGCCATACTTGTTCCCACGTTACGCGTTATCCGGAGCCGACACGTGGCCGTGGACGTAAATCCAGAGATTCACGAAGGAGAAGATAACCGTCGAAATATATGTTCCCGCTGTCGTATAACTTACTATGTGGAATGTGACATTCGTCTAAAACCTCCGACCGCGGTCGGAGAACTGGTTTTTGCAGTCGACTGTATATCGCCTGGCTTACTGTTAGATTATCTACAATCTGTTATCTACGATTACATAAAGGACGCGGTATGAAGGGGGGCATCTGAAAATCGCTCGCGAAATATACAATGCGTGACACGGGGCCGATTGTACGTACATTAGAAGCGATCGCGTACGCTAATCGGATCTCGAATCTGTACACCCGACGCCCGACGTTCGATGTGTCACGACGAATCACGTTCGATCGTTCACCCATGTCGCTTGGAATCTTACCTGTGCGTCCGGAGAGACGCACGCGTGACAAAGTGTCCGCTTTCGTGCTTGTGTTCACCTCGAAACAGAGGAAAAAAGAATCAAAAATGTCTAATCAACAAAGCACGACCCCAAGAATATCCCGCGAGACTGATCCGCGTATAATTAGCAACAAAGTGCGAGATACATGCCAAACGTTCGCGACCGCGACGGTAAGATGGTAATCGCGAAAATGTATGTAATTCGAGGCGCGTGTGTGATTCTTCTGCCGACTTTTCAACTGCAATTAATCATGCTTCATTCGTGACTCGATAAGACGCGCCGATGCAACGCCGCGCGGCGCCGGCATCCAGCGCATGCGAATGAAAAAATTAAAATTAAAAAATAAATAATAGAGAAAGATAAAAAAATAATAGAGATGAGACATACATAGCTTCAAGATCCCATGCTCGGGGAAATGTGTCAGTTTCAATCGCTTTGTTTACGCCGCTCTTCGAGTGAATTCAAAGTTAGGGGCGCGAGAGTCGCGCTGTCGCGATGTTTACCGAAACACGCGAGGTCGACGGTTTTTCAAAAGAGAGTTCCCCCCTTCCCCTCGCCGCAGGTATGCTAACGAAATCGCCAGCCCACCCCAGCGTCGCAGCCGTTGCGCCCGCGACGTATTCATAACTCCATAAATCACGGGATTTTTGTAAAAGGAAGAAGCTCACTTCGCGATTAATAGTCCGGCTCCCTGCCTCTCTCTCTCTCTTTCTCTCTTTCTCTCTCTCTCTCTCTCTCTCTCTCTCTCTCTCTCTTTCTCTCTCTCTCTCTCTCTCTCGAAGCGGTAAACCTGTACACATTATATTCGCGGTGCGCACGTATACGTACACGGACGCGCGGACGCAAGTGTGTTATACGCGTGCACACGTGTAACACATGCGAGAGACGCGGCGTGATCGCCACGTTGAAGAGAGACGATCGAGTCGGTCGACCGACCGACCGACCAACCAGGAAGCGATCACGGACAACTGGTCACTCGCCGGAATTCTGTCGGATGCGATTACACGGCGCGGTGGTTCGTTTTAAAATGAGTGTCCCCTCTGCCTTCCTTTTTTCTTTCTTTTTTCCCCTTTTAACCCTTCTTCCCCTCTCTCTCTCTCTCTCTCTCTCTCTCTCTCTCGCTCCTTCTCCTTCGCTCCACGAATGCTTTTAATGCCGCGTTATTAAAGCTGGAATTCGCCCGAGGTTCCCTCCCGTTCGGAACCGTATCGCTCGGCCGATTTTATTATGCAACGCGAATAAATTTACTCGCGATACATGACATATATAATGCCCGGCGAGTCTCGTTACGAGGTAACGCGAATGTAACGAAAACATTCTATAATTATGCGCGTTATGTTGCACAAGATATTCCGAAAGCCGACGGATGTCCTTCTGATTGGAGATAGCTCGGTCGATCTGGGAAATTGTTAACTACTCAACAAACTGAATTTCCGAGTTTCCGTGTCTTTCTCCGTGCTCTCGTTTTCTTACGAAAATTAACGAAAATTAACAAATTAAGCTTAAGAAAAAGTGACATTTTATTCTTCGCTTAATTTTAAGGAAGTTCTGTATCGATAATTTTAACGCAAAATCTAATTGCAGAGACACAAAGAGATTGTAATGATAAAGATTGAAAAGTCACAGTAAGCAGATTTTTTTCTAAATTGTCGGACATCGAACGGAGGACATCGGTGTGAGAACCTAAAAAGAGAAGATTTGAGGAAGGTAAACATTAACGCGCACGAACACGCTTGCTCAAGGAATCCTCTCGCTCGTTCGTGTTAACGGTGTATCTTTATTTAGAATCTCGTTTCAAACGCCATATATAGTACTGCTGACGACGAAAGGCAGGATCGCCGCGAAAATGTCGATCTTAGGATCCAGATGTCGGCCGAGACTCTCGACTATCAGCACGCTGAGGATCGCGCTGCTGAAGGACGCGTCCTGCTTGACTCGATGATGGACCATCGCGGAAAACAATTCCGTCACAACGGTATTCGCATTCACCTGTGAGCATTCGAAAGGATCGTGCGTGTGATCGTTGTTCCTTTTGTTGTCTTTTTTTTTTTAATTTGCTAAATGACAAGAGCGTCTCGCAAATTATCGTTTAGCAAATTCGCAGTTATCGACAATTTTAACGACAAATTCTCCGTCGCGAGTCGCGAGATTCTCCAGTTTCGTGAGAATGAATTTCGCGTTCTCGAGAACAATCGCAAATTGCCACACATTCTACACGCCTGTCAATCTGAGAAACAAAACGACCGACTCTGTGTGTGATCAAAGAGGGAAACGAAAACTAAAAATTATCGAATAAAGCGAACACAGCAAAGTTGAATTACTCAAACGCAAATACAATAACGCGGACCGTTTAGCAGGCGGCAGAAGAACTGAAGAGAACGTCTCGCGTGTCACGAGAAGAAAATAAATTTCCACGGTCAGCCACCTCCCTCTGTTCGTCGGGTACAAATTTGTTACACGAATGAATCGGAAATGTCGGCGCGGCGGATTTTTCTTTTTTCCGAATAAGCAGCAGGCTATCTGCAGGAGCCGTAATAATTGCAATTATCCATTATCAGCGTTATAGTACCGGTATTAAAAACTGGTTAGCCTCTCCCGCGCCGCGTGTTAATACGCGATACGCCGCGTAATTGCTTGTCGCGACTACGCCGGCCGTCGTTCCCATCGTGATACGTTTATTCAGAGGCCGATCGATTCTGATTGTATCCGCGCGATCTTAATGGCATATAGCGACGTGCTCGCTATATAATCACAGCCGCCTCGTACACGACGTCCGCTCTGTGCACTCTGTGATAATTCGTCGCAACCCGAAACCGAGGGCAGAGCGGTACTCCGATGCGCGTATACACGCAATATTTAGCGACCGCCTGCAGACTACGTGGTGGCATTACGTGGTGTACGAAGGGAGAGAGAGAGAGAGAAAGAGAGAGAGAGAGAGAGAGAGAGAGAGAGAGAGAGAGAGAGAGAGAGAGAGAGAGAGAGAGAGAGAGAAGGAAAGTGAGACAGATCGGTTCCGAGAAGCAACGCGACGTCTAAGAAATTAATGACAATCTGGCGCGGATCGCGTCGACATCCGCGATGCGACGAGGACATTGCGGTGCCAGCGCGATTCGCGAACCTCGTCGGCGTACGCAATGTCGCCTCTACTAACGTTAAACGGTCTGCTGTAATGGGCTCTCACGATGTTCCTTATCGCGCGCCTGAAGCCATCTGGATCGAGAGTCATGTACGAATTGTGTTTCAGGATATACTCGGCCGCCATTTCACCCTAACGCAATGTTTTACCTTCAGTATCGATTGCTTGAGCGGTGAGAAATAACGAACGAGGTGAGCCATTGGGTGCATCAACGATGTGCACAAACGATCCTCGTAAGAATCTACTTTGCAAAAAGAAATGTCGTACACCCAGAACAAGCGGAATTAGCTAAATTTTAGAGGATTTTATTCTTATATATGGCCTCAAGAGGATTCCCCTAAGATTAAGAGGAAAATATTGTAAACGCACATTATTCTTAAAGTTAGAGGAATTATATATTACGTGTTATATAATGCAAATCTTAATATAAATTTCCTCTTATACACAGATTATTTAATCGTTTTACAAGAGAATTATTATTTATTCTTATTGTACTTTATTTTTACTGATCATACTGGTTAATTTGAAAGAATTATTATAATATATATATATATATAGCGAAAAATAATATATATATATATATATATATGTATAAATGTACTTCTAGCTCTAATTCTATAATAAATAGGTACAAATGAAATAAGATTATCATAACAAATAAATTTTTAATCAGTTTTGTTACGGACTTCACAGCTACAATATAAAGATGTTCATCATAACCAATTGTATGAAATATAGTAAAAAGAAACATATATTATTCAGCTTCTTGCAATAGATTATTTAAACTGTATTATATAGATTATATAAACTGTATTTGACCAAATATGAGTAAATTATCTTCGTTATATGTTACAACAACACACATGTCTTTTTTAAAAAGGGTTCTAAATATTCTGATCCATGAGCATATTATTTCGTTCATGTTTGAAGGTAGAGCATGACTGAACAAAAGAAGCCGACATTCAAATCAATATATTCCTCTTCATATAAGAGGAAAATTAGTTAATATAATAAGAAATCCTCTTGAAATAAGAGGAAAACAGTTAGAATAATATCTAATAAATTTTAGATGAATGATTCACTTTAATCGCTTTATCGAAAGAGGAATCCTTTTTCTGTAAAAAGCTTTGCTTGGAATATGAGACTATAGGAAAAAATCACTTAAATATAATACTTCTTTTTGGGTGTATGAAAAATAAACTGTGAAACAATGAGGAATCGTTCCAATTAAGTCTCGCACGCGAGAGGGGAGAATTAAAAATGGACACGTTACAAAAGTCCGACGAAAGAAAATTCAAAGCGAGACACAAAATTTTCTTACGTTCAAATTTAATTTAATTGAGACGTCGCGACGTTATCACACGGAGATGGCCCACTGTGCTCGGCTACTTCCCGTTTCAACATTAGATAGAAAATATGTTGATTCTCTTCCGCAAGACCAAAAGAAAAAAAGCGGAAACGTGTGTGTCAATGAAAAATAAAAAAAGATAACATTTGCCATGAGCACAAAGTAGAATATATTGTGAAAAATGTTTTCGATAAAAGATGAACACGCTCGTCTCGTCTCGATTTCTCTCGGCTTCTTCTCGCAGATACCGAGTGAGAAAGCACGGAGGGAGAGCGTGTCAATAAAGAATAGCTATCTGTTCGGCTTACGTTTCCCATTAGCACGGAATGAAAAACGTCTCGGAGATTTCGTCGGCAGCGATCGTTCAGCGATGCCACTAAACCGCAGTCCAATATAATCAAGCGTGGGCCGTCCGCCACGTAATTAGGGGTAATGACCCGCCGAAAGGTGCTAAACAAGCCTGCCTTCGGGACGACTGCTTGTTCGACTAGAATGTTGCCCGGATGCAAGTCACAGTGTATGAAGTTATCTTGAAATACCTGCAACATCGGACGGCGCGACTTATCTCGTGATTCGTGGTTCTAATTTCCCCCCCCCCCACCCCCATCGCGCTACCAAATCTAATCCAAATCTATTAGGAGATTGAATTAATTCTGGTTCTTCTTATTGTGTCAATTTTTTATTTTTATTTTAAAGGAATGGTTGAATTTACTCCAATCAAAATATTTGCTGTCGTTAGCTGTGACTTTTTCCCATCTTTCTGGCAACATAGCGATTTCGCGACGATAGGACGATCTGTCTTTCGAAGCAATCCAATCGGACACTCATTTTTGCACATCCTCGTAATTATTGAAGTGTATATCTGCCAAAGCGTGTTGCATCGGTCGGAAGAAGAGACGGTAATCAGAGGGTGCTAGGTCTGGAGAGTACGTGCGGAAAGATATCCCATTCGAACTCTAATAATGTTTGTTTAACAATTGAAGCAACATGTGGACGAGCATTATCATGCAAAAAAATCACTTTGTGTCTATTGCTGGCTATCACTGGCCTTCTTTGCATCAATTCATCATTCAATTTGTTCAATTGTTGCTATCACTCTCTCGTAACTGTTTCATACGATTTTAGAAGCTCATAGTACACCACGCCTTCCATATCCCACCAAATACAGAGCATTGCTTTGTGACCGCGAATATTCTGATTTAGGGTCGATATGGTTGTCTTGGATCAACCCATGATTTTTTTCGCTTTGGGTTATTAAAATAAATCCACTTTTCATCACTCCAGCTGCAATTCGTCACAGAAAACTCTCTTTTTTTCTGTCTGGCAAGTAAAGACATGGTGATATTCAAACGATTTGCAGTGGCATTTTCACTGAATTCATGTGGAATCCATTTGTCTTCCTTTTGAATTTTTTCCATGGCGTGTAGGCGTTTAGAAATTGATTTATCGACGTTGAGTTGTTCAACCAATTTTATTTTTTTCGTTTGAGCGGTGTTTTCATTCAATAACGCTTGCAATTCAGAATCTCCGAATCTTTTTGGTTGACTTGTACTTTTGAATCGTTGAAACCAAAATTTAGTTGGAAATACGATGGAGTCTGATCACTATAAGTTGTAACAAGCATCTCATAAGCTTCAGTTGCCGATTTTTTCAAATCAAACAAAAAAAGTAATGAATGTCGGTAATGCAATTTTGTATGATCCATTTTAAACGCGTATAAATAATGAAACTATCAGTAACAATAGTGCGCAAACTATCTCATGTCATAGAGAAATGTCAAATCTTTCAGTGGTGCCGGATTTCAATATTCGTACTAACCATTAACTTGTTACGAAAACCATCTATCGCTAGGGGATAACCAGAACTATTTCAACCTCTTAATAATTACATTTGGATTTGATCGAGGTAAAAATAATCGCTCTTCTAAGTTCCTTGAAATCCCATTCGAGCGATGGATGAGTCGCTCGAAATTGAGGACAAAACTTGGGCAACTTGAGGAGAGGTTACGTTACGTTACGTTTGACACACGTGCATCGAACAATCAGTGCAAATCCAAGCACGTCTGTTCGAGATTCTTGAGTCGCGCACGACATTTCGAGTGCTGGGTTTGCAAACTAGGTACGCTTAAGTTACATTCAAAAGAGTAATCCTAAATTGGCGCATATCAACCATTTTGAGCACCATCGTGATTCCTATCTTGGCAAGCTTCCGCTGCAAGGCGGCATCATTATGCTCAAGGTAGTCGGATATCGGCGAGCCCTCGTGGAAGGTCTCCACGAGTATCCGACGACCGGTCAGTTGCGCGTACGGGTACGGAAACACGACGTCGCGCCTCCTCGAAAAGTTCGCTGAGAATCTCGCGAGATTCGTGGCTTCCAGTCGCATATCAACCTTGGCAAACAATCGCGCACGATTTAATCAAGCGCGGAGTTACATTCTCCCGCTTCTCTCCGCGAGGGAGAGAGAAAGAGAGGGAGAGAGAGAGAGAGAGAGAGAGAGAGAGAGAGCAATTGTTCGGCGCCGATCTCGCCGTGCGCGAACTCGAGTCGGAATTACTATGCCGGCTTCAACGAGTCTCTCTCTCTCTCTCTCTCTCTCTCTCTCTCTCTCTCTCTCTTTGTCTCTCTCAATCCCAGCGGAGGGACTTGAATCCCGCCGCCGGAGTTCGTTATAACGAGATTTTTTTTCCAGATTACATAGGAGATGCGGGAGAGAGTCGTGGGAAATATGCGTGTTGCAAAATTACTTGGTCTTGCATTATCCGCGCGAATTCGTCGATGCAATCCGTGAGACTGAGCCAATGCAGTTCCGGTATGAAGTACGTGGCGCACTTGCAAAGGCCGTGCATTATCGCGATGTCCCTTCTGAAGCGAATAGTGGGTATACAGGGTGTCCCGTCGTTGCTGTTTAGTAGAAGCCCGGCTAACTCGGAACCCTCGGCAAGGATGTCCGGGGCACAAATAATTGTTCAGAGTGTTTCGCGATTAAGCGTAAGACCCAGTTTCGCGAAGCAAGCTTTGAGAGCACGAATGGACGAAACGCTGTGTGCTTCGGTTGATTTCAAGCAGAGAATAGAACACCTCGATAGAATGTCGATTCCGTTAATTGCGGAGATATTATTAGGGGTCTATTATTAGCCGGAGACGTTAATTGCGGAGATATTATTAGCCGGAAAGTCTCTTCGTTTTTCCGTGTTCTTCACTTGATGCAAACGCTGCCATTTTCCAAGAGTAAGTTCGATCTTAATGAAAGTTGATATACACAAGAAAGAAATGTTGTTAACTAACCTGGAATTTAAATTAATTCTGGATTAAAATTAAGAACCCGTACTATAATAATAATGACGGAAATTGAAGGTTTTAAAAGACGAAAAGACTTCCCGGTGTCCCTAATATATCCGAACGCGTTCGAAAAAAAGAAAAAGCGACCCGCTTCCGATATTCTCGCGGAGTGGAAGATCAACGGATCGGAATGACCGAGAAATCAGTCATTGAACGTGGACGCGCGGTAACGGCGAGACACCCTGTATGATTGCAACAGAAGTATAAACATCCACGGTTCATAACGCGGCTCTTATCGGCGGCGCGATTGAACGTTGCCGGGAAAGACTATTAAATGTTATCTTCGCGGTATCTTAAAGGAGGTACTTGAGTTGGCCTTTGATTCCAGGATGCAACACTTTTACCGCTACGGCTTGCAATTTCCTGGCCGCGCGCGGACCGGCAGGAGCGGCCACGTCGTTTTTGTCATTTTCATCGGGAGTTTCGTCTAAAATCACCCATACAGAACGATCTGCTTGTTCTGCAATCGACTCCAGCTGCTATGTACGCGCGTTAAGCAAAGGTATTTCACGCCGCATAAATTCTGCGCGATATTTCTCCCGAACTATGTGTTTCGAGAACGAACGACAGCGAAATGTAATGCGCGAAAAAAGAAGGAGAATAAGAAGACGGCCCCGCGCGTGAAGTCGCTCGCGCAAGTTTCTATCGCACCGACGTTACGCGCGAAGTGAAAACACTTTCTAAACTTACTTTCCACGAAACGTGACACTCGGGAATCTCTTGCCGCCACTGCGACGCCCGTGATCTCGTTCAAGTCGATCCACGCCTTGTACACCTGCAAATTTATTTGGGAAACATGTAGTTCTCGTCGTAGAATTATCGTACAAATTTCATCGAGAGCCGCGAACGTCTTCTTATGCAACTAAGAACGCAATTCAAGAACGGTATAAGAATCAAAATTCAAATTTAATTAATTTTTTATTTAGTTTAAATACGATCACACAACACCCAAAAAAAGTGACTTCAGAACAAGCGGAATCATCTAAATTTTAGAGGATGTTATTCTTATATGTGGCCTCAAGAGGATTCCTCTAAGATTAAGAGGAAAATATTATAAACACATTATTCTTAAAATTAGAGGAATTATATGTTACATGTCATATAATGCAAATTAAATTGATTTTAATAAATTTTAATAAATTTCTGTGTATAAATTTCCTTTTATATTTATATTATACAGATTATTTAATCTTTTAAGAGAATTATTATTTATTCTCACTAAATTTTATTCTTACTGATTATACTAGATAATTCGAAAAAATTATTATAATGTATAGCGAAATATATATATATATATATATATATATATATATATACTTCTGACTCCAATTCTACAATAAGTAGGCACGAATGAAATAAAATCATTATAATAAATAAATTTCCAATCAGTTTTCTTGTGGACTTCACAACTATAAAGATGTTCATCATAACCAATTGTATGTAACATAGTTAAAAGAAAGAAGAAGTTATTCAACTCCTTGCAATAGATTATAAACTGTATTTGACCAAATATGAGTAAATTATCTTCGTTATATATTACAGTAACACACATATCTTTTTTTAAAAAGCGTTCCAAATATTCTGACCCATGAGCATATAATTATTTTTTCATTCATGTCTGGAGGTAGAGCATGACAGAACATGAGAAGTGGACATTCAAATCAGCATATTCTTCTTCGTATAAGAGGAAGATTAATTGATATAAGAGGAAATTCTCTTGAAGTAAGAGGAAAACAGTTAGAATAATATCTAATAAATCTTAGATGAATGGTTCACTTTAATCGCTTTATCGAAAGAGAAATTCTTTTCTTGTAAAAAGCTTTGCTTAGAATATGAGACTATGGGAAAAGTCACTTTACAAATAGAATACTTTTTTTGGGTTTATTTTTTGAATTTATTTCATGTACGGAGAATCAGAGAATGGATATGTTCCTTCAAATTTTACACAACCGTGCACTTTGCGACGCGAAACCGAGAAGAAAACTCTAAAAAAGGAGTATACATCTCACTGCGTATTACATAACTGCGTCGAATACATCGTGGTAGGTAGAGTTCATCCTCGTATCGTATTTCACCGGCATACCTGCGCACAGCATCCCGAACCGATTGGTCCTTCGTCATCAAACTTCACGAACAAGTCCCGCCAGGAAGAGCCGTACGTGGCTTTAAGCAGGCGCTTTGTGTACAGCCAAGAATGTGGCGTCACGTTTTGTTGGAGTTGAGACAGGCAGTCGCAGATGTCCCGCGGAAAGATGTCCCTCCGTATGGATATCCATTGGCCGAATTTAACGAAGATCGGTCCGAGGAACTCGATACCTGCAAAAGCGCGCGGTTCTCGTTCTCAGCTTATCCTTATCCAATCCTATAATTTCATGTAAATGTCTTGACACATTATTTCACAAGATTGCAAATGAGATACTAAAATGAGGACAACAAGTAGAATGTGTACAAGAATGTTGTATAATGCTCAAGATTCAAGATTCCAGATATCTACCGAATATCTATAGACACGCTTCAAGAATTCCCGGAGAAATGCGCAGCTTAAGAATCACCAATTTCCATTTATTAATTTCTACTGGATATCCGGTTTATCGGTAACGGAGAGAGATACGACTTATTGGCAACGCGATAAATAAAATAACCACATTCACCTTTCCGTAAGATAGTGGGGAACAAAGTCGCATGCGTCAAACGCGTTATCAGATAAGCGGCGAGCAGGGTGCTGATGACCGAGCTTATGACCATGATTCTAGTCAATATTAGAATCGCCTCTCGCATGTCCTGCAGAAAACCTTTCTCCGTCTCCTCCATCTTCTCCCGCTCGTTCGACCAAGACACGTCGGATTCGATCTTGACGCCCGGCTCGACGCGGGAAAGCGCCGGGGCGACATGGCGGACGCCGCCGACGACACCGTGAGCGAGATTGAGATCGAGCCGGCGTGTTATCAGCGGTTGAAAGCGAACCGTCGTTGACACCCGACAACGCCATTTTCTCCGACACGCGATGATGTTGTCGCGGTAGCGCCATGACAGCCTGCTCGACGACTGTCTGAAGAATCGGACGAGATTCGGGCGCAACGACATCGCCGTGACGATTCTCGCGGTTATTACCGTTAGAGCGACGGAGACGTGGAATCCACCTCGTGGCTGGCGACGCTCTCCCCGACGTCCGTGTCCATGTCGCGCGAGTCTTCGGTCCGATTTTCTGCCGCGGAATCGCAAACAGTGCAGATTTCAAGAGGCCACGCGCGTTCCCCGCGCGAAGTGATTCGCACTGAAGTGCGCGGAATGTCGTTTCCATGGCTAGAAGAAACGAGGTATCGAATTCCTGCCGACATGCCAAATGAACGGAGGCGGATTAATGACGAGCGATTAATCAAGACATCTCTCTATGTCCAAAGTGTGACAATTGGAGCATGTTTCATTGCAATTGCTGAAATTAATCAAACCAAATTCCACGAGTTGCGGCATAGATGGCGCGTTGCTCCGTTCTGACGAAGGTCCTGCATTGCTCTCACACTGGTAGTTTTGATCGCGTGGGAAATTTGAACAAGGGGAAAATTCGCTTTCGAAAAATTATTTATTGGATTCCTTTTACTTTGAAACTGTTATAAATGAGAATCTCGCCTTGTATCTACCGCCGTAATTATTTGCTCGCCGGTGACAGGAAAATGACAGATAGAGCTTGCTTGTCATCATTCGGTCGGTATTGTCATCATTCTTAAATTACAGACATCCATAAAATCGTGGACATTACCTTTTACCCACTGAGAGAAATAATAGACATTGACTACGTAGTTTGTATGTCTACGCAGTATTGAAATAGAGGCGCTTGAAAACAGCGTTATAGGAAAATCGTCGCCATAGAATCCGCTCTGAGGTTCCTCTGTTATTTAACTGCGAAGAACCGTCAAAGATATCATTTTCGCAATTCACATCTTATTCAGATGTTCCATCTTCGCTAAAGAATCGGATTCTTTGTTGCTCCGACTGTTCTACTACGGATGGAGCTACTGCTACAGGGAACCTCTATGCAGCAGCCTTCAACAATTGCAACATAAACGTATTTAAAGAGTTAGGGCAAAAGCACAGGCTTTTGCATAACGCATAATACATAACGCATAAGAGAATAAACCAATTAGTTTTCTTAATTTCCCTCCTCAGGATAGAAATGAAGAACTCTGATTGGTTGATTCTCTTATGCGTTGTGTATTATGCGTTATGCAGAAGTCTGTGCTCTGGCCTATAGCCAACTTCCTTAAATCCACTAATCAATCCATTTAATCCCCCCTCCTCTTAACGCAGCTGGCGAATGGCGTATGGGTATACCTTATTACTTAAAGACACATACCGAACGAACGAACGAACGAATAATTTTCTCAATGTTTACAGTACTGTGATGCGCCGCTCGCAGGTTATTCACAACGTTCCCATGGCTTTGCAGCGTGGTTAAAAATAAACACACCGGCGAGGGTGAGCGCGGAGGAGCGAACATTCGCCGGGATCGACATGGTTTCTGCGTCATGATCGAGCTGGCGTGTTCGCGAGACGTTACATTCAGAGCCGCAAATGGTGTCTCAACGAAAACCATGAGACAGAGACGTTGAACGGGGTTACGGAACAAGCGGCAGCGTTCAGATAAGAACGCAGGAGGGATCCAGAAGAGGTACAGTTGTACAAACAATGTTTCCGTCAGAAGACTAAGTGCTTATACAGAAAAAGAGAGGGGTGCGAGAGAGAGAGAGAGAGAGAGAGAGAGAGAGAGAGAGAGAGAGAGAGAGAGAGAGAGAGAGAGAGAGAGAGAAAAGAGCTACTTCTATTGAGCTGGTAAAGCCACACATCAGACTACACTCATCCGCATCATCATCGGGTGAGAAATACCCACCTTAGCAGAATGCCCACCGTAGCCAACTCCTCGCTGACTTACGAGATCCTCATGTACTTGAACTCTTTCTACTTTGGTATGTTCGCCGTGTGCGAGTTTGGCATGGGTCTGTTCAAGGCTGCGAACCTGCCATCGCCAGGCGCGACCAAAACGCTGACGGAGTTTGCACTACTGTTCTTCTTGATGGTGACAGAGGCTGGCAGGATCTACCTCGGTAGAAGAGGAAATCTGACCGAACGAGGACTGCCGATTCTCATCGGCATAATCTTGACCGTTCCCAGTTCCTTGGCGACTCTCTATTTCCTCCTTTGGCAATACTATGTGCTCAGGCTAGAGGTGATCCTTTGTTGCATACAGTTAGGCTTGCTGGCATCCGAGGTGGTGATCTCTATTATGTACCTCATAGCTATTTATCGGCCACCACCTCCAGAGAAGTAATATTTGATACACTCTCAACAGCAGGGAGATTTCACTCAACCTTTGCACTTGTCATGCTTAACACGGTCCATTCCGAGTGTGCTATCGGTTTCTTGCCATGCACAGGACTAAGGTCCTCAATGTTTTTTCACCACATAATAGAGAATACTTTTCTGCCTCTTGTAATTTTTCTTATCATACCTCTAAGTCTACAAAATAGTCTAATCTCAGAATATTGTACAATATCTCCTCTAACACACACATATATATATGTACACATACATATATACATATGTATATATGTAAAGATAAATTTACACATTTTACATAATACTAAACATGTACATACCAGAATAGGATTTTTGCAGACATATTTGATTAAATCCTAAAGTAAAGACTGGGTATTACAAAAATAAGAAGTATACTTTTATATCTTCTGCGAAATACACTCTCTCTGTGTATACAATACGAATTTCAACAATTGTATAAATATCTCATATATTTTGAACATCCAAAAAGCACTGTACATATACCATCCACATTCCATAGACTGAATTAGATGAATGATAGATATTTTGTGATCTAAATTTTATAAATGTAAAATGTCTCTAGTAGGACAACGTTCTTAAGAGTAATCTACCACCCAGTAGCCTTATTTCGTCTATGGAAGAATAAAAAAATGGAAGGATCATTATTCCATCTTATGTTAGTATCTCGTGTAACTTGTCTGATCTACATTGTCAACATTGCCACTTACATGTATCTTTATATTTGAGTAGCTGAAACCTGTAAGGATCCCCAGGAAAGAGGCTAACAATATGCGCTACTGCATATGCCCCTGTGTTGTGTTACTTGCCTTTGGTGAAGAAAATATGCGCGCACGTTTGTTTGTATACGCATTTATATCAAAATAAATATTTTTCAAATAAATAATACAATGGCATAGCACACTCTGTCAATGAAACACGCATAATGCGACTTTTTCTCTTAAAATTACACGCATACTCGTCACAAGAGTAACTTGATACTCTCAAAATACATTATGAGCACACACACGGCGTATATTATAGTTATATATCTCTTTCAACAATTATCTCTCCGATACGATCAATCTTTCGAAACTATTAGAAATGCAATCGCGATATATTGTATGCAAAGTCAGATTATGACAGTTAATTATAGATACGAGATGGAGCTCGATCTTAATGTTTGTAATGACAATATGTCTAATTACAATGACATTACAATCCTATTCTAATGGTGCGATTATGACGCACGAACGATAGAATTCTACTTCTATGACAATTACAACAGCAATTTCGCCTAAGTGGAGCGACCCTTAATGTTTTATACTATTCGCCGCGGCTCTACGTCTTCTGATTGCATGTAGTCGATTTGTGCAGTAAATTCGTAAGAACACGGAGCCGAATACTAATAATACTCCAAACACACCGATAACGGTGATTTGATGATGATAGATCAAGCAGGATAATAATATTGCCAAGCCCTGCAACAGTCATCATGAATCATCCATTGTTATCTCGAGGTTCAGTCGTTACTTTTTCTTTTTTATAAATTAATATTCACTAATTACCTGGCGAATGGTCATTATAATGACAAACGTGACCGGTCCAAATTTAGAAATGGTGTAAAAGATGTACAACTGGCCGCTTGCCGAGCAAATCGAAATCAGCAAGCAATCGACTATGAATCTAGGATACTGCGAACGAACAAATGTCATTATTAGCATTACGCTCGTCTACGACGTCACACAAAGAATTGTACCGGGATATAAATTAATTACCGTTAACATAAAGGAGAATATCTGCGGAAAGCTTGATTGTTGAAACAGAGACATTGCAGTCAACAGGCAGGAGAACATATTGACCGCGCACATCATTTGCACACTTGTCGCGCCGTATTCCACAAAAAGCGCATTTTGCCAGGTACTCGTGAAGCTATCTAACACTAAGTAACCTCCCAACAAGATAACACCGGTGAGCGTAGTAGCTCCATCTGAAAGCGCTCGCAAACTTATTGTAATGATAATTTCAGTGCGCGGTTGACATATGTAAGAAATATCCTCGATTTACTAATAAACGAGGTCTCACCGTTTTTATAATCGGAACTGTCCAACATAAACAGGGTCATTCCGATGGAAATAAGAGCCGCGATGACGTATTCATAATACTCATAGGATGTGCGCGAGACTATTTTACCCATTATCATAACTGGAATAATTTTTGAGGCTTTAGCTAAAACCTGGAAAATGATTATATATGAAATTATATATAAAACTTTATAGCCCTCATAGATTTCTTTTATGACATATTCATTCTTCCAAATAGCAACATATGCAAGAAAAATGCTTACAATTAAAAAAAAAAGAATAAACAATTGTAATATAAAAAGTGAATTACAATATAAGATTATATCTTTTTACCTGTGTCGGGAAACTAACGTATTTTAAGGCTTCGTATTGGCACCAGCTGCTCATGATATTTGACAGAGAACAAAATGCATACTTATAGAGTGGCGTTTTATGCTGTGGCTGATGCTTAATGAGTAAATATATTCCCGACATTAGGAAGGCGAGAATGCGATTAACAAATACCAGAAATTGTGAATCTTGAAACAGTGCCTTATTGCCAGAAACGTCCTCATATTCCTGCAGCATCGAAATATCAGAGTTACAAAATTTTTATGTAATCACAAATAATGAACAGTAACACCTTTTCACTTGTATCATTTTCACTTTATATCATAAATACCAATAAAATTTATACTACATCCATACCTGTGTCATTATCTTTTCCTGTAAATAGCCCCATGACAGGTAACTAACTTGCAATCCAAAGAAGCAATATATCAAGAGTAAGGCATCTTGTGTAAAAGTACGTTGAGTATGAGCAGAAGTATTGGGCGTATATGGAGGTGAATCCAAGAGACCAGTTTCGCAATGTCCCATAAAGCATGAATGTACCAATCTGGGAATACAGCCTTTTCCTGCACAAATATATCTTAAATTACAATTATCTCAATATATCTGAAAGTGTTATATTATTTAGAATTGTTAATTATCTAGGATACTACTATACTTACCACCCTTTTGAATATATTTTGTATAACGCACATATTTATATATGAGGTAACCAGGCAACAGTACAGTGGCATATCCCAATAAATTTAAGCATAATTGAACAATCGAATTGTATACAGATATCTTGGGAAATTCCTCTCCATTATTTGTTAGTGATTTGATGACTTCACTGGTTCCAAATATAATACTGACTGAAAGCAGTAGCAGTACACTACAAAATATATTTTTTGAATTATAATATTGTAATCAACATACACACAGATACACATTGATCAAAATAACAAAACTTGAGCTATAATCCATAAGTGCTGATAATATGCTAGTCCTATGAGATACATGTATATGTATATATTACAATTTATTGTATAAAAATAAAAAATAAGAGGCACAGTCACATGAGTATCGTAAACTGTTTGGCCCCAATTATCATTATCTAGAGTAACAGAATATTCTAATGCTTAAATATTCTTGCGTTTAATATATTACAACATTTCTAACAAAATTAAAGTCAATACGTACCAAATCACAATGTCACGCATAAAGTTTCCCATAGCTTTTCGTAAATGAGAAACTTCAACGAGCAAAGTTAGTTATCCTATAACCTTCGTCGCACCACGTCTCTTTATATTAATACACATGAGTATGGCAGAAATACGTTCGAAAGAGCTGATTATGCATTATGTTACGAACCATAGGCAGTGTTTACATTAAAAAAGTAAATAATCTTATCTTGTCCTTTTGGTTCTATCATGCTTTGTACATGGTGTTCTATTCTTCGTTACAAGTAGCAAAACGTGTATAGTGGATATACGATACGTGACGCACGCGTATAAACGCGAGCACGCATCAGGGAGATACCAGGGCTGCCTAAGTTTTCAAGGCACCATGGGCCACTCGTTGCACATTGCATTACGGTTGATTGTTTATTTTATAACAGAATATTACTTTATCCAAATCTAATGTTGTTTGTTAAGAAAATCTCAAGTTTACTCATTGGTAAAATACACCATTCGAAGTAACTAACTAATTTTACAAATAAATTTCTAAAATATCGATATTTCCTCCAGTTTGTTATTTTGACGACTGATCTTAGTATTCAATTTTAGTTCTCGATGAATATATTTGCATAAAACTCAATATTTTAATCTTCCTGAGCCAGCGCATAAATATTTCATTCCAAAGGAACCATCCACGGACTCTGATTATTTCAGCAACTGTGAACAATCTTCGCTCAAACCATCGGAAATTTCGATTCTTAAGAATGGGAATCACGTGCATATATTGAATTTACTGTAAACTCTTTGCAGCGTTGCAACGCGTGATCTTCATTGTTCTCGGATAAAGATTTGGCACTCGTGAATCTCAAGCGAATAACCCGTCGCTTTTCGGCGCGCGTCACGCCCGATCGCGCGCCGTACGATAACTCGATCAGAGTTAACGGAGATGAAAAAGTTCTGCGACGAAGGACAGCATCGCGGTTGCTTCTCGTTATGCCTCGCCTCGCCTCGCTGCACCGCGCCGCGCCAAACATCGTCGCGCGCGCGCTGCAAGCGGCCTTGGAAATAAGCGCATTCAAATGCATGCGTGGCGCGTGTGTGCAACACAATATACGTTTTACTCGCGTTCAAGTATAGACGCGAATACGCACGCACTACGTACGTACAGTACGGGCGGCCGACTAACCCGGTATCGTCTAAAAAAGCACACGGGAGATCCGCCGACTCGATGACTCGCGCGCGGAGCAAGGACGCGCACGCGCAACCCTCCGCCGACGCACCCGTTCGATTTTTCATAGACAGTCCGCTGAAAAGTTGCACCCGATTGGTATAATAAAGTCGCGGACTTTCTTCATAAAACTGTCGCACACACTACTCCAAGTTGTTTCCTTCCTCGCATCAAATGTTCCTTAAATGTTCGAATTACGCAGTAAGACACTTATTGGTTTAGCGGATTACTTCCGCAATATTTAAATTCAATCTATAGCGAGCACACTTGAGCACGTCTCTCACGTTGCAGAATTGAAACTATTCGTCCGATGTGATTGCTCAGGCAGTTGTTTACGCATTTTAATGTAAATCGTGTACAGATATGTGAGATCCGGATTGCGTTACAGCTGGATGACTTGACCATTTTCCATTGAGATATCGTTTGCCCGCTTATTTAATTAGTTCGACTTAAGGACACCTGTCTGTGGTATCATCTAATAGTATCGTTTACTTTTCTAGAGAAGATTTCTTTTCTTCCAGACTTACACATCGTTCTGTTTTTTCTCAGACACGCGGACGACGTTGCGACGTTGTTGATTGTGTCGACAGTTTATCGGGATCGAAAATCCGAGTGTTAAAACCGGTTGACGACAACTATTACGTTACAACGAAAAAGATAGAGAGAGTGGAAGCGAGAGAGAGAGGGAGAGAGAAAGATGATCGCTCGTTTCCTCTCTTGCTTAGCGAATATTAGATAAGTGACGCAATGGAGGAAAAATTCCACGATCGTTACTCAATCACCAAAGATTCGAATGGCTGTAATATTTATTTTATTAACGAATCCATCAACGATTATACGGCGGCATTCTGATTTCGACTTTCGAAAATATGTAATTTATCATGTAAACACATGAACCGCTGGTCGTTATCGGTCCTTGTGTTATCAGATTCATTAAATTTACTCAAAACATGTAATTCATTCAATGGAAAGCTAACGGTATTTATAGCTACAGATGAAAATATTTAGATAGTACAGAGTAAGCCGAATATTTACAACTTTTCGAATTGCACGGATAAGACGAAGTGAGCGCCTCTGCTGTTATTTATTAAAGCAGGTGTGAAAAATACGAGCCGAGATAAAGACACTGAATTGTTCGTTTGTACTTGAAGTTGAAGCACTCGCTTTTTTAAGCATGAGATAACGGAAGTTCTGGAGAGATATGAACGGTAAGAAGTATAAATCGTTTATCACTACTTTCCATGCGCGCTTGCGCATATTTGCATCTGAAACCTAAGAACATTCCTTTCCTTTTTTCTCGCAACAAATCACACGTACGTGATTGTGCAACCGCAGATGCTGCATCGCGAATGCTTTATGCATATTTCTCGTTACTTTCCGCTTGCATTTGACCAAAATTTCATTAAACGAGTTATTTTTCCATTATATAACTCTTCGCCGAAGAGAGAAACAGCATATATCGCCTGAAAAGGAAAACAGTATATAATGGCCGACAAATCGAGTGATAACCTCCCAGCGAACTTATTATACACTCTCACGACGCTTACGAGTGAATATTTCAAAAAGTGAATGCTTCGTGGTAAAAGATGAAGGTGAGAGCCCATCTTTCGTGCTTTTGCCTCTATCTGCCGAATGAAGAGCGCTCATTTCATTCTTACCCGTTGCCAACGAACGCGCGAAGTCAAGCTGACGGAACTTCGAAACGAGCGCGAAGGTAAAACTCTTCGCCGAGAGTGAGTCAGATAAAAATCGATTGATCGATTCCTAACGAATTGTCGCTCCGACCACGCGTGCTCCAGATTCGCGCATTTTCTCGCTTACTCGCAACTGCCAACTGATAAAGTGGCTCTGACAAAGTGACGCAAGTGGAACTTCATTTATTTTATATATATATATATATGTATGTATGTATATATATAATTATAAATATGGGCACCACACACTTGTACGAACACGTTGACTCGTATTGAAACTCGATATTCAAACACGAAAAGGAGAGAAATTCTTCAAATTTACATCAAAACCATCTTATCATATTCATGTTTCCTCGTCTCTCTTATGAATATCGCGTTTCTCTCCTTACCCGGAGATTTACTATTCGCCGTAAATTATCGCCAATCGTAGGCGTTTCTCCCGAGAACTCCCGCCGAGAAACGGGTCTATCGAGAGAGCTGAGGCTTTTATGAATGCTAATCGAGTGTATCGTCGGTGAAATTGACAACAAAGCGCGAGAATCGCGAAACAATCTCGCGTTACAGGCACGTGCTGGTCCGGGGGCAGCACGAAGGACTTTGCTCTCAGTTCGGTCGCGCATAATCGTCAGGCAGTATATTTGCCGCGCTACATTTATAGACCAAGGATAAGAAATCGAGAGCTATCGCGTATGGTCCGTCCATCGTATGTCGCGCGCCGGACAGAAGAGGAGCGATGGCGGCGCGAGAGATCGCGCGCTATCGCACTCACGAGAGCGCAAAGGTCGTCGATTGCTCATCGTGAGCGACAAGAAACACAGCCATAAAAGAAATATAGCAATTCGCATGCGCTGCGCAAACACCTAACCACACTATGCTGTTACGAAAGATAGAGGGAGCGAGAAGGGGATAGGGAGGAGAGAGAGAGAGAGAGGGGGAGAGAGGGAGAGAGGGAGAGAGGGAGAGAGAGGGAGAGAGAAAGAGAGACGTAACTAAACAAATGATTAAGATTGCATCGTCACAGCATATCGTACGACCATAGTCATTCAACCGCAGATGGTATAACGACGATTAAAGACGAAAATGCATTTTCGAGATGTAAACGGTCGAACACGCATGTGTATGTGAAGTGTGTAACAACCAAAGTTCCCATGGATATTAACATTTTAATCGTGATGAATCCATACGCGCCTGAGCGCGTTTAACAACAACCGTCATCTTTTAGAGCCTTTTCTTTCTTTTTTTACGAAGGACGAGCCTACCGAGATATACGATTCGCAATTTACATTTACATCCGAAGGAGCCTGAGAAGCCGCCACTTCGCGGAGCGCTATTCGGCAGACTTGAAAACCGCCCGCGATCCCGCGGCGAACGTCACTCCGCAGTGAATGCGCGCGCGGCCAGCTGCGACAGCGAAACACCACGACGACGCCATAATTCGATCTAAAGCGCGCGCGTTTCAGCCGCGCAGGACGAACGACGCAGCGCGTCGGCGGCGGTGGCGACGGCGGCGCCAGCACCAGGTTATGCTCGTCATCGCTTACGTAACGAGCGCGCTCATCCTCCTCCTACCTCTCTTGCTCCGCCACCACCACCACCACCGCCATCACCACCACCACCATTAGCGTGCGTCGCGACGCAACGCTCGTCGTCGTACTTTCCGTGAGACCTCCGAAGAAACTCTCCCGGAAGTATCCGCCCGCCCGGTCGGTCGGTTGGTCGGTCGGTCGGTCGGTCGGTGGGTCGCTCGTTCGTTTGCAGGCTCGTTCGTCCATTTGTACCCTCGCTCGCTGAGCGCGCGCGACATTTATCGCGGGGTGCACCAAGAGCGGAGCTACAGCGCCCGCACAAGGCGCCCGCGGTGCATCCTACTTGCTACGGCACTGCTGAACGGAACTCACGAGGGCTGCTCGCGCGCGACAGACGAAGACGGAGTGAGAAACAGCGTGCAGAAGGAGAGAGAGGGAACGAGAGGGAAACAGAGAGGCGCAGTAGCGATAGGTACCGCGCAGGCTAGACGGAGACGCGGCGAACTTAGAGAGGTGTACGCGAGGGCACATCGAGTCGCGAGTATCAACCAGCTGGTTGGCAAGGGAGCCGCGAGCAGTCGCCAGTGAGACGCGGCACCCCGCGAGCGTGTGTGTTATTTGTTCGCTCGCTCACTCGCTTGCTCGCTTGCTCGCACGCACGCTCGTCCGCCCGCCCGCCCGCCCGTTCGTTCGTTCGTTCGTTCGTTCGTGCGTTCGTTCGTTCGTTCGTTCGTTCGCTCGCTCGCTCGCTCGCTCGTCCGTCCGTTCGTTCGTATGTGCGCGCGTACGTTCGTGGCGTGCGTTCCTGCATCAGTGTCTCCCATCTGCGAGTAGCAACTCTGTCGTGGTCGCTATTTACGTGTACATCCATTTGTTCATCCGTTTCGAGAGAGCGATACGTACGTGGTGCCTCTCCATTCTCTCTCTCTCTCTCTCGCGGCACCTCATCCGGACACGACACTTGCCCCCGCGAACGAACATCGTCTGCTGCTTCCACCACCATTCGTCTATTCTCCACCGTTCGCCTTTATTCGCGCGCGCTTGTCCGTTCTTCTCTTTCCCTCTCTTCCTTTCTCACTTGCTCTCTTTTCCTCTCTCTCTCCCTCTCTCTTGTTCGCCTTCCTGGCCTTCCCCTACCATCAATCACGGAGTGTAGTGTTCCGTGTGTATCTCACCTCCGCCTCCGTGTGCGCCGTCTACCGCCTGTCTCTACTCTGTGGTTGTGTTAGTGTGTGTGTACCGTGCGCGCAACGAGCGAGGAACAAGATGGCCGCCGACTCAGGAATGGAGACGTGTCCCTCCCCGGAGATTGCGGACTCCAGAAAGCGGCCGCTCGACTGCGACGCGGAAAACGGTGCAACCAAGAGGTCGCATTACGGATCAGGTATGTCAATTAGAAGGGCGTCCTCATAATGCGTCGCGTCGCGTCGTCATCCCGACCATTTTGCTTGTTAGCCCGCCCGCTCGCTCGCTCACTCTCGCTCTCACTCTCGCTACGTGTCTCGCTCTTACGGAGCTACGAGTATCGCGCGAATAGCCTCCTCTCTCGCGACACGCATACTCGCGCACCGCTCGCGCAATAGGCAAACATATATACGGCAGCGACTGTGTCTCTCTCTCTCTCTCTCTCTTTTTCTCTTTCCCTCCTGTTATTTCTCTCTCTCTCCTTTTCCCTTTCTCTCTCTCTCTCTCTCTCTCTCCGCCCGTTTCGCGCGCACCTTTTGACAATCTAGCCGTACCGTGCTGTGTTGACACAGCGCGATCGGTCCGCTGGTAATCGGCGTACCGTTCCCTTTCGTTTCCCACCTCCGAAGTCCGAGCCGTCAGTGGCGGCGGCGGATCGCCTGGGTGATCGCGTATGTACACGGAGCACCGCTGCCACACAGCGCCTCGCCTCACCTCTCCTCGCGCATCCTCTCCTGTGCCACGTCTCCTCTTTCCGCCCATTGCCTGATCGCCCCCTTTTCCTTTTTCCTCTCTCTCTCTCTCTCTCTCTCTCTCTCCTCCTCTCTCTCCCTTCCTCTGTCTCTCTCTTTCTCTCTCTCTCGCTCTCTCTCTCTGTCTTTGTCTCTCCCTCTGTTCTCGCTTCTGTTGCTGCGGTGTCTTATTCTCTCCGACCTGCGGAGTCGCGCGCCCGCGAAGTGCGTTCGACGGCAACCGAAGTCGCACCACGTCGAAACAGCGGGAAACAGTGTTTTGAATTTTGACGTTCCGTCCGCGCGCTCCATCTCTCTCTTTCTCTCTCTCTCTCTCTCTCTCTTCCCATCTCCCTCCCCACCTCTCTCTCTCTCTCTCGCTCCCTCGGCTACGTGTGGGCGGTCGTGCCTGTGGAACGTCGACGTTAATGGAGGACCGCTTCGACGGCGGTGGCTGCTCCTACGGTGACTCTGCAACTTTGTCGCGCGGACATCGTGAAAATAGCGGCGCACGTCGCCGCGCGGCTACGTTCTCGCTGTTGTCGTCGTCACCGTCATCAACATCGTCGTCGTCGTCGTTGTCATTGTCGTCGTCGTCGTCGTCGTCGTCGTCGTCGTCGTCGCCATCGCCATCGTCGCCATCGCCATCGCCATCGTGGTCGTCGTCGTCGTCGTCGCTGCCGTCGTCGTTGCCGCCGCTGCCGTTGTCGTCATCTCCGTGTATCAATCGCGCGCACTTGTCCGCGCTCCGTTCGTCGCCGCGTATCCGTAGCGCCGCGGTGCCGCAGCCGCAGCCGCCGTCACCGCCGCCGCTGTCGCTGCCTCCGCTGCTGTCGCCGCCGCCGCCGCCGCCGCCACCGCCACCGCCGCCACCGCTGTTGCTGCTGCTGCTCCCGTCGTCGCCGTCGTGGTCGTCATCATAGTCCTCGTAGTCGGAACGCGCGCCGCCGCTGTCATCCGCGCGCAGCAGAACGACGGCGCCCGCTAGGATGTGGCGCATCGGTGAGTTGTCACGGACGCACGCACGCATGCACCGCGCCGCCGCCTCTCCGCCTCGCCGAGGTTGCGGGTCAAGGTCGCCGGGCCAGGCAAGCCGAGCCGAGCAAGTGAGCGAGCGAGCGAGCGAACGAACGAACAAGCAAACTAACGAGCGAGCGAGCGAGCGAGCGAGCGAGCGAGTGAACTAGCTAACCAGCCAGCCAGCGCGCAGGGCTTCCATCTGTCAAACAGCTGTTTGTCTTCCGCACGTCCAACTGCCGTCCCTTTCGACCCGAACAATTCCTCATTGACCGTTAGTCAGCATTCCTCGTGCGTACCGCTGGATTCTGTGAATATCTTCTTGTTCCCGAGATCTGTGCCCGTCGTCCACGCGCATTCGGGGATCACGCCCTTCGCGAAAGAAAGGGCGGCGGGATCTTCGAATGAGGTCGGAATGATCGTCGGTGCGCGACCGAGTCCGATTTGTCATATTAGCTTAGACGTCACAGTCGATGTCAGTCGGTGTGTTCCCTTCTCGTACGAATGACTCCGCCGGTCACACCGTTGACCGTGACCGACGCGGATTTTCTTTCTTTGGTCGTCGATTAGCGGAAATCCGTGTGCGATTTCAAGCTTTGTTCTCGAATTCGAGCACCAATTTTGCAGTATCGCGAGTAATCGCCGTTAACCGTGATCGACATGTTTTTCTACTTCTGCCTGTGACGTAATTGGCAATTACGTCGGTACAATCGTGACTGTGTTCCACCTGTGCGTATTTCTTTCCGTGAGTGCCTACGATTTCATCGTGCGTCTCTTTCCATGTAATTGCGCCCGACGGATGGAGATGGGAAAACTGTGGAAATTAGAACGCCTGTCAAAAGTGATTAACTCTTACGGAGAGAAATTTCCAGCGGGACGTTACATATATCCCGTCAGTCGCGAAAGATTAATCGTCGCCGCGGTTCTCTTTTCACCATTTGCAATAGCCCCGTGGAGTTGCAATCTTGAGAGAACGGATAGTGATTAGCTTAAGTAATAGTATATCTGCGTCTCTAGGCATTTTTTTCTGCTTCGCGAGCGAGCGAGCGAGCGTGCGCGCGCGCGCGCGCGATTTATGTCCCGATGTCGTCCACCGGCACGTCATCGCTCGGTTGACCGACTCGAACGTCAACGTCACACGACTTCGACTTCAGCCGAAGTTTCCCCGGCCGTTCGATCACGCATGCCAGTGTAAGCGAGCAAGGTCGTGCATTTTCGGAACGTGGCACCCGCGCGAAAACTATGCTTCGGCCGTCACTCGAGCGTAAACGCTGGAAAGCTCGGTTCAAGGAGCGGATAGATCGATCGTAAGTCGATCGGCGATTTTCAGCTGACGAGTCATATGTTCGCTCAATTGGCGAGGCGACATGACGTTCCGCGAGCCGCGATTGCGTGACACGCAGGGCCGAGCTGAAAAAGAGAGAGAGAGAGAGAGATTATCGTGGCGATCGTGACTGGGAAAGTTTTCCGTTTTATTTTTTTTTGTTCATTTATTTATTTTTTTTCTTTTTTAATAATAATATTGTCTTTATAAAGCTCGCATCTCGATGGGTCTCTCGACGAATGACATCTTTTTCGTGTACTTGACGCTACGTTCGAAAATTCTGCGAAACTTAAACTTGCATTCGTCGAGGAGAAAACTACTACGAGGTACTTTTTTGAGAATTTTTTCCAAATATACGATCGGGACTGCTCGAGAGACGATAGTCGCACGAATCGGAGATGCGCAAACTAAAATTAGGAAACCTTGTACTCGAAATCGAGATAGTACAATGTTATAAATAGCAAAAATTACCATCTCTCATAATTGCCCTTTGCCAAAATTATGTTGCAAGATACATTTTTACACTATTGGCCTGCTGTTATTAATTTTGAAAATTTTTTCGTATCGCGCTTCGTCATATTATTACACGTAGCTCGTAGTTGTTGAATTACTCTGCAAACTTCAATGAATACTTTCTCGTGTCTTTACATCGTTTTAATATTCGATATCGATATCGATATCGTGTGATTGTATAATTCACGTGTTCACGATATTTATCTCTTCATACACATGTAGGAATGTGATTTAGAAGGATTCGTTCTGATTTTGCAGGTGGAGATGGAACGTATCACCTCAAAGTATTGGTACCCGGTGTGGCGGCTGGAGCCATCATCGGGAAAGGTGGAGACACAATTGCTCAACTTCAAAAGGATACGGGGGCAAGGGTGAAGATGTCTAAATCACACGACTTTTATCCGGGTATGTATTCACTTTTTTGTTGCACATTTGTGCGCATCCATGCCATGCGTACATCAACTGTGTCTTAAAGGGACACTTTGCTTGTCTGCAACAGGAACTACCGAAAGAGTATGTTTGATCACAGGCAGTGTAGAAGCTATAATGGCGGTCATGGATTTCATCATGGAGAAGATACGCGAGAAACCTGACCTCACATCAAAAACTACGGTCGATTTTGACTCTGGTAAAGCCACTGCGGAAAGAGACAAGCAGGTATAATAAGAATCAAACATTTGTTTACAATGAGAACACTCCGTTGAAGGACTTTTTGTCCTGATATTTTACACATGAGATATCTTCCAAGACAAACGTGCGAAATTGATATGCGTTATAATGCTAATAATTGCCTCTTGAAACACTTTTTTAAATTTCCTTAAGATTTTATGTGTGTAAAGTATTTTTTTTCTAAAAATAGCCTAAATTTCCTACTGTGATACTAATTTTACCACTATAAACTCTTTACGATAATTTCCATGAAGACGCGAGTGCTAATAGTAGTATTAGTGAAAATACTTTGTAATAGTTGTTGCGTTTGTGGCAGATGATGAAACAAGCTATCCTTGATAGTCAATCTCATAATTGCCCTCTTGATTGCATTAATAAATCTTGTGCGCGTGAATGACACAAGCCGTAATGCTTGCCATTTCAGGTAAAGATTTTAGTGCCTAATAGCACTGCAGGGATGATAATAGGAAAGGCCGGGAATTACATTAAGCAGATTAAAGAAGAATCTGGCTCGTATGTCCAAATAAGTCAGAAAGCTAAAGATCTATCTCTTCAAGAGCGATGCATAACGGTGATCGGTGAGAAAGAAAATAATCGTAATGCATTACTCATGATCTTAGCGAAAGTGGCAGATGATCCACAAAGTGGAACCTGTCTTAATGTCAGTTACGCGGATGTAAGTGGTCCCGTTGCCAACTACAATCCTACAGGCAGCCCGTATGCTCAAGCCCCCACAAGTACTCCCACGTACACGTCTACAGCCGGTTTGAACACAGGTTAGTTAATGCGAGTTTTACAATATCGATGGTTTTTTTTTTCTTTTACAATACTTGATAACATTGCAGTTACATTTTGTTGCATATGCGTTATCGACGGTTTATCGACGATATATTTCTACATATTACTATACTATATATATATATACTATATATTACTACAAGAGATATGTTACATAATAATATTTGCAGATATAAGTTTGTAGATACTGCTCGTCTTTATTATTATTATTATTAGTATTTAGTAATTTTCTATTATTTATTTATTATATTTATCTTTTTATTTTTATTATTGTTTTATTATATATAACTACACACGCGAAGAAATTATAAACTTTATTACCGTTTTTGTAATTAAGACGTTAATCTTCGACTTTTAATTTCGACTATTTAAATGGAAGAAGTAAACTATATATCGTGTGTCCATCGTGCGATTACAGGAACTTGTAGCGATAACCACATGATTGTTGAAAAGGAAGAAATGCGCATTATCCATGTGCGCACTATCTGCATTTTTGCATTTGCCGCGATTGACCTTGTGCTTACGCTGGCGTTGCGCTGGCGCGCGTTAAATTTTACAAGTCAACGATAATACACCGTGTTTCTCAAGCGTGGACAATTAATAATATCACGCGATCGCTTGTCCATTTTTTCTAGTGAGTCTCTTGAATGGCGCTGGTCTAAGTCTGAATCTGAATCTGGGCGCGGCCATTACAGCGGGTACCGCACCGGTGACGACGCAGTTGTTGGAACATATAAAGCTGAATCTACGTACAACAGGCTTCACCGAGCCTGCCGCTTCGGAGATACTCGCCGCGATTGCTACCCTCGCCAAGTACAATATCCTTGGGATGGGGATCGGCATGCCGTCGAGTATGAGTTACTTGGGCAATCCGATGGATAGTACCACGACCGCGAATGGTTCGAACAACAACGGCGGTGTGTTTGGACCGATCGGTACTGTGCCCGCGCTCGGATCGACTTCACCAACGCCGCGCAACACCCTCGATCGGTACGAGCCGTTCGATCCGTTCAGACAGAACAACACTGCTGCCAGTGCTATACACCTGAACAACAATTCGTTTGGCTTGGGCACTAACCAGTTATCACTTGTAAGTAAGAGTCCTACACAGGTAGACGCCAACAGCAAGGAGACCAAGAAAGTAGACATAGAAATTGCAGAGGTTATAGTGGGAGCTATTCTGGGACCCGGTGGTCGTGCCCTCATTGAGATTCAGCACCTAAGTGGCGCCAACATACAAATCTCTAAGAAGGGCATGTTCGCCCCTGGTACCAGGAACCGCATAGTGACTATCACGGGTTATCCCAATGCGATCAACACTGCTCAGTACTTGATCGAGCAGAGGATCAGTGAAGAGGAGGCGAAGAGAGCACGTCAGAATGCCATCGCCAATATGATCCATTGATTTCAAGTACGGCATCCCACTTGTTCATCTCCATTATTGAGCTCCGTTGTTCACCTCTTCACGCCCTGAGAAGTCGCGCCTGACAACGGCGGTTCTCTTCTCTCCCCGACTTTTTTCGATATATACGATATATATATATATATATACACCATCATATATATATATATATATACATATATATACATATATTTCGTCCATCGCGCCAAAAACAAACAAAAAAACCTACCGCCCGTTGTGTCATCTATCGCTGCGTCACTATAGCGCTTGCATTATCGCATCACACTGTTCATACATCCATCATGGCTCGTCGACATTTATCTATCTTTTAAGGTTATTAACGATAACATACGAATATTATACAATGCGCCGGAAGTACGAGTAGACCAAATATCGACGCAAGAGTTTCGAGAGAAATTCTGTTAATGTTATTGCGTTGCAACGGGAAGATAAATTACATACGAATTACGCATGATGCAAATAACGTAATTTTTGAAATTTCAAAAAAATTGACATTAGCACTCGCAGTGCTTTAATTGAGAAAAAAAAGAAGACAGATACGGTCTCGAAGTGCAAAGCACGCGAACTCATTGAAAAGGCAACTTTCTCCGCGTTTGATTTAAAATTTAACGAAATCGAACTCGGTCTACTTGTGTCTTCAGCGTTTGGTATGTTGTACGATATAACTACTACAATTGTTCTGTGATACACCACATTACTGGGCTTTATCACACACGACACGCGCGTACCGCATCAGAGTTGCCGCGAGTAAACTAGTTATTATTGTATAGGGTATTACCGCGAGAGGTAATTGTTATCGATTCGGAATTACGGAGATACGGCATCTCTCTTTAGCCACTGACGTTCACGCCGCACGAGCAAACGCTACTACAATCGGGGGAATACAGCTTCTTCTCGACAGACTCCTCTTGTCCTGATAATCGCAGTGTCCCCGGGAAAAGTCTTTTCACGGGTGACGATTTTCGCTGTAATATCGAATGTTCGACTCATACAGAACTCAACTGTTGAACGCCAACGCGAGTCCGCCGGATTCGCTTGACTCGGTCAACTGGAATGTCGAAACGAAAGTTTCAAGATCAACATTCTGCATTGTCTTTCGAGATGGGAAATACTTAGACTAACGGACTTCTCGCTTTTGCAAAATACGTTATTCACTTCGTTCACCGAGTAACAGAGTAAATACCTTGGCAAAACCAAAGAGTTTACATATATAAATGCAGAAATACCTTGGCTGGAAGTTTAATATATATGCATATATAGATATATATTCAAAGTGAGAGAGAGAGAGAGAGAGAGAGAGAGAGAGAGAGAGAGAGAGAGAGAGAGAGAGAGAGAGAGATAAAGAGAGAAAGCTATTCTATATATATATAAACATATATTTATATATTTACAATGCCGCTGGCTGGCCCAGCTGAATAAAATAACGGATAACTCCTTATTGCCAAGAGTTATATTCTTAATTCCAAAGGGTTTAAGTCTCCAACTCAGAACGAACCTCATCTCTAACTAAGTTTCCCGTAGCGCTTAGATTAATGTATACAGAATACTAGATTAACGTCAAACGTTGTTATCTTTTGACGCGTAACTCTAAGAGATGCAAAATCTGTTTGCGCTAGCACCTGTTCACTAGGATAAGCAACAACCTTTTCGCCCGCGCATCACTTTTAGATAACATTCTTGGATAATAATCTGCACACTCTTATCCCATTACATCTCTCGGACTTTTAGTCTAATTATTTCCTCTTCTAAGGCGATCGTCAGTTGACTGCGATTAACATCTATGTACTACTTTGCCTGAAGTTTGCTTTAGTCTCATTTCGATCGAACTTGACATTAGAATTTGTTATTACGTGCCTTGAGAGAGAGAGAGAGAGAGAGAGAGAGAGAGAGAGAGAGAGAGAGAGAGAGAGAGAGAGAGAGAGAGAGAGAGAGAGAAAGAGAAAGAAAGTAGTGTATATTTGGCGTTTGCCTTCTCGCAACGACGCAAACGCTCGTTCGTTTCAAGCACATTGAACTTTCGGAGGTTCTTTATTTACATGTGAGCATTTTCTCAATTGTTCTCGCCGCGGTCGAGACTTTTTATCGACGCGTATTTTTACGCTCAGGCTGATCTACAAAGTGGCGACGACGATTCGTTTGTACCCGCATTCATATAAAATTCTTCTATCATTCATTTTAACAGAATTAACTTCGACAAATCAATTATATTAGTGAAAATTGCGCATATTTTAGGGTTCTGTATGGTAAAAGGACGCGTATGAAACGTCGAAAAATCTCAACGCGAACGTGAGTCAAACGGGCAGCCTCAATGATTTCTGAAATTTTGTCACGGTGAAGCGAGTCGGCAGGTCGCTGAACGTTAAGATCGGTTCAAAGATTTTCGGAGTAAATTTGTTATTAGTTTTTGCCGTTTGATCGGAAAACAGAAAAGTATAAACTAGATATAACATCTGGTACGAAGTAGAAGTTTTACAACTATTCTTTCTTTGGGGGTAGGTAAATGTAGGAAGGGGTGATATAAAGTAGGTAATCAATAATGGGCTTAGCTAAAACGATGATTATTGAAATGTTAGCTGTAGCGTTAAAGATATATATATATATGTGTGTGTGCGTGTGTGTGTGTGTGTGTGTGTGTGTGTGTGTGTGTGTGTGTGTGTGTGTGCGTGCGTGCGTGCGTGCGTGCGTGCGTGCGTGCGTGCGTGCGTGCGTGTGTGTGTGTGTGTGTGTGTGTGTGTGTGTGTGTGTGTGTGTGTGTGTGTATGTATGTATGTATGTATATATATATATACACATAACTGTGTACACGAGTACAATTCATAGCTGGAGGCGCTGGCCCACCGCTCTTTAAACAATGACTTGTATATTTATAAATATCACATAAAGGAAATGATAATATATTATGCAAAGAGAGCGAGAGAAAGAGAGAAATATATATAAATATATATATATACTCTTTCTATAAATAAATATATACATACATACATATATACATGTACATATATATGTATATATATATAATATAAAGAAAGAGAGAGGAAGAGGATATGCATTAGATTATTATGAAAAGAGAAATCACGTTAAATAACATACATATGTGTATATATATATAAACTAATATACAAATATTATATATATATGTGTATGTATGTGTGTGTGTATATATATATATATATATATAATATATGAACGTGGAATGATATTATGAAAATTGTTGACAAAATATTTGCGTCCGCGAAGAGAACAGATTTATGTTTATCCATAAATTCTATGTGAACTATTATCATAATTAAACTCCACTATGTTGCCCAAATATATTGAAAAAGTCACCGGTAACGTGAACTACGAGATATTCACTAGGTTGCTGTAGATAAATCAATTCTAAAGTTTTAAGAGATCACATAAATATAACTTATAGCGTTAATTTAATTTATGGATTAGTGTGTTCTAATGGCCTTCGTGCTATTAACGCTAAAGCGGCAGCATAATATATATACATATACATATATATATATTTCGTTATTAACATATAATACTATATAATGTTCGTCATTCTATCATGAATCATCACATTAAATCTATATTAATTGGTCACCGCTAATTCTCATCTTATACTGCAAATCTACTATAGCTGACTATGAATATATCGTCCGGTCGACTGCCGGTAGGCAGAGAGACTCGTTTGTGTCGTAAGGTTCGGTCTTGTGCAACATACGAAACGAAAGAAAATGTCGTCTTGTCGTTTTGTCACTCGAGCAGCCACTAGTAACATTTTTATCGTTCGCAATGTTCGGTGCGAGGTGCATACCGCACGGTTCCACCATTGCCACTACAAATATGTACGTTAGTCTCTTATTTTATTAGAATTAATTGTTATTTATTCGTCTTTCACCGTACTCGCGTTCGTACATCATCTTTATCGCTGTCGTCGTCGTTGTCGTCGTCGTCGTCGTCGTCGTCGTCGTCGTCGTCGTCGTCGTCGTCGTCGTCGTCGTCGTCGTCGTCGTCGTCGTCGTCGTCGTCGTCGTCGTCGTCGTCGTCGTCGTCGTCGTCGTCGTCGTCGTCGTCGTCGTCGTCGTCGCCATTCTCGTCGCTCTCGTCGCCGATATTCGTTCGCGGACGGAAGCGTCGAGTTGCACTGTTCTATAACCGGTCGAGGATCGATATCCTTGTTTTGCGTTCGACCCGTTGTTGAAGTTACGAGACAGCTGTGTGTGTGTGTGTAGTTTCGTCCGCTGCCTGTCTGTCTGTGGTAACGCCGGGTGAACGGTTGATTAGATCGGCGAGAACCGAGATCTTCGATCGAGACTTGATCTCTCGGTCTCGCTCACTTCCATTCGCTCCTCGTGGTCCCTGGTATCGCTGGGATTCGATTACTCCCACGAGCGATCCCTATACTTCCTCCAGGACCCGAGTTGTCGACTTCGATCGATCACCATCGGGGGGCCGGTTCACCTTCCGTTATTATGTACTCGCAATAGCCATACTATAATTCTAATAGCGAATCGCTCTCGTGCAGTACAGCCGACGGTAAATTGCGGACATTCGCGTATTAGCGCCAGAGTGAAGCGACTAATTAATTTGTGATATGTGCACATCGCCTGTTGGTACAAATGACGAGTTTCACGACGTACATGTTTGTAGGAAACGCAATAGCCGGGGAACGCCGAGTGGTCTCTCCCTTGCGAACAACTTGTAGGTAGCACGCGCTAAAGGGGAAAAAAAGGTTAAACTAGGAATAAGGTTTACGGTTCTCTTCTCTTCTTCTAAAACATAAAAAAGTAACAAAAGAACATTCCGTAGTAGAGCAGATTCATAATGTATAAGACTAGCTGTGATGGAGTTGAAAGAGAGTATATATATATATACATATATTTACCAGCTGCCAGTACGTGAGCAACGTCACGGGCTACGTTGACAGAAATGTAAAATTGTAGAATTTATTTGCGCAGGAAGACTAAAATTGATGAGATGATGGCATGCGAAACATACGGATTCCAGCAAGGAGAAAACACGAGAGACAAAGAGAAAGAGAGAAAAAATAAACGAGAGATCGAACTTTGTCGACGATAAGTGAACGAAAGGAGAAAATGTGCCAGTTAGCGTACACGTTATAACGTTATAACGTTATAACGTGTTAACGACTTTGTGTGTGAGACTCACGATCCGAGACGAGGAGAAAATGAAAGAAACAGAAAGATCGGACGAAGCAGATTTTCTCGAGCGAATTGCTAAAAAAGAAAAGAAAAAAAGTGGAAGATGAGTCTCTTTCTGCGATTAATTCCGGTAAGAATCAAACAGCGACAACAACAACAACAACAACAACCGAATCAACAGTAAAAGAAAAAAACGATACGAAAGATTACACGTGTAGAAGCCATAACGCGATCAGCCAGTCTAACATAAGTATTCTTCTTAGTGTACGTGGGTTTAAAATATCGCCTGTTACATTTTAGTACCATAATAAAATAGCATGATTCGTAGAGAGTTCGTCGGTGGGAGCGTCGTTTTAACGGTGGTTCCAACGGTCGTTTCTCTTCCCCCCCTCGGAATTCGGGATATGCAGTTCTCGCGTTCGACACTTATCTGTGAACGCAGAAGACGCGAGAGGAATGTCGCGCGTCTCATGGGGTCGCGGATGTTATCAGACCGAGGAAAATAATACGTGTGATACATCTTTAAAGATCCGGCTGTGAGCGAAATTAACGCGGACGGGAGTGCCACTAATAAAATCGCGGATAAGCGCAAAACGCATTATCGGCTGGTTGACCGTTACTTAACGGGGTTTTTGCGTCTCGATTCACGCATAGAAAATAATCGCAACCCAGCGAATCAAACGTGCCCCTAACAAAGAGCCGATGAAATTAACCGACAAATAAAAATGCGCTGAAAAATGTGTGCAATATTTTTGCATTTTGATTAGCTAAAACTTTAATCAAAAGCTTTACGCGGCAGTGTGTTACGTATTAGCGCTCGGATTTTCGCGATGTGAGTATCGCGAAAATCCGAGCGCTCGGTATCGATCTTAGTATCGACTCGAAACGCGAAGAAAATCCCGGAAGAAAAGCAAATTAGAGAGAAGCGATCGCTGAACCATTATTAAAACGACGCCCTTGGCCGAAATTTCCGGAGTCGCTTTAACGCCGTACGTGTACATGCGTTTAAGTGCACTATAGTGTGTGTGTGTGTGTATATATGTATCTTTAATTACTAGCATACCGAAGAGTATGTAATAACGACGAATAACATCCAAGTACACAGTTCGAGTGTGTGTGCGGACTCGAGTCGCGAGTGAATCGGTCTCGATTTCGTTGCGGATCAATATTAACTTCGTTGCAAGCAGACGCGCCGATAATCGACATCATTATCCAGCGGAGAGTAATTGGCGACGGGGTTATTGTTATGTGTAATAGTATTGATCTAAAAAGGGACCGCATTCGATCTCCCTTCGAGCCTCAACGATCTCGATTTCGGAATAGAGCGGAGTAAATGTTCTAAATGCTCTTGCAGTCCTCGTTTAATCGGTATAGTTGAGAGAACGAACGGAGAGAACAATTTCCATTTAAACAAGAGAAAAACTGAAAGGAATATCTTTCAATCTTGCACTCTTGTAACTGCAAGTTTCGATGGTTGTCCCGTCGAACGAATTGGCGTAAGTAAGTGAATTCGCATAAGTAACGATATTCCGCTCGAGATCGTGAAATCCGCAGAGGGAACGAAAAAACGTTCGCACGTATCGTTGAGGATTTTTCTGAGACGAAACGGACGATGTGGTGACGTCCGCACGAACGTGGCAAAGCAGTATTGGTCGGCCAGTCAATGTTACCTACGAGTTGTTTAAGAGAAGAGGGCACTTATTACCGTTTGCAATTCAATAGACCGGCAGTCGTCGCTCTTGTTAGTAGAGAATCTTTTATTTTTTCACACAAAAAAAGCTTCGTTCTCTTTTCTTTTTTGTACAGTTTAAGATATATTTCGTTCGTTCGTTAAAAGTGAGGGAGGACCGCGGCGTGACGTGTGCGTTATATATTTATATAGCTACATGTACGTATATAACGCGTTTACATATATATTTATGTAAAAATTATATATAATTATATATTATCTTATATATATATATAAAATTATATATATTTATATAATCATTTTGTTATATATAATTATATATAAATGTGTGTACAGCGCGTCGCGTCGCCAGTCGATAGTTGTACACAAGAATTACTAGACATAGATGTGTAGCTAGTTTCTTAAATCTCTTACGAAAAATCGTCATTACAGGTTCAACGTTTTAAACGACAAATGATCCACTCTATCCGAGACAAAAAAAAATATATATATATATAAAGAATCACGTACACGCGCGTCCGTGTAGGCGTGTACGAACTCTACCGTACACGCGTATACGACGATTATCATGGGAGATTATATGAGAGAGAAAGAGAGAAGAGCGAGAATCGCGTTCTCGCAGACACATGGGGGGGAAGGGCGGGGGGGGGAAGGTGTAGTACAGCTTTAGTAGTAATCAGGGAATTGTAGGAATTGCATTGACTCGCCTCGATTCGATTAAAAGTACGACTATTATTACAATAACTAAATAAAAAAAAGAAGCAACTGAGAATTCGACACTGGTCGTCGCCGCGCGTAGGGGTGGTGGTGGCTTGTGTGTCACGTTACTTGGCTGTGTGTGCTAGGCTACATCGTAAATCATGTTCCATCGCGTTCTCATCGCTCCCACACTCTCGCATAGGCTCCATTAAAAAACTAATGTGTAGGAAAATAGAGACGAAGAAAACAAAAAAAAAAGAAAATGAACGAGAGGAAATGCAAAAAAGAGGCAGAGAAATATAAATATATATGTATAGATAGAGTAACGAGACGAGATTCGCGCTGTTGTTAATTATTATACCAACGATAAGAGCGAGTATTTGACTCTCACGTTTTACGCCAGGGGTTAAAAAAGAAAGAAAGAGGTCTTTTCTTCCCTTCCACCCCTTCAATCCGTATTTTCCTCTATCCCATACCTATACCTATACCCATACCCATACCCATACCCATACCCATACCCATCCGCCATCACTCTTTAGTGCCATATCGAATTTCCCTATATCCATCAGCTACACTTGTTAACGTTTGACAGTAGAACGTGTTGTTAAAGATGTGTATATCTCCCTGCTGGACGCAGGATCGTTTTTCAATAAAGTCGAACTGTACGTTTATTTCTCATTATATTTACCGAATATATCGGAATATATTTACGAATATATTTATCTTTACGTACGTCTGCTCAGTTTGCGGGAACTGGAAGAAGAGGTGTGTCTTTTGGCGATAGCCAAGAAAAGGACTGTAACAGCTTGGACTGTAACAGACAAGATCGTCCGCCGCAAACTGAGAGGAATGTTAATTAATGGATATTTTAACGTTATAACGTTCTTGCGAGTTTCGCGTTTTTCCTGTTTCTTCTTTTTTTCTTTGTTTTTTCTACCTTCACATGCGTACGTTGTATCTTGTTCAAGTCTGTCTTACGATCGGCGATGATAATACCCGAAGATAACGCAACGATTTCCGAAGCTGATATTCACGTACTGATAATTCGACGATATATCTGATTCGTGATTATCCGTCGCGATCGCTGCCGTAGAAAGAGAAACGTCCGTTAAATTCGTTAAAGATAATAACGTCGGGAGGGCCGCGAGAAAATTTTTACAAAATTGCCGTGTAGATAAAGAAATCGATCGATCGATCGATCGAGCACCAAGGCCTATACCGATTGTCAAATGACGAGGAAAAGGCGTGCGAGTTAACTGTTTGCGATGTATCGCGATCGACTATCGTTTCCGAGAAAAAATATTGCATTTGCACCTTATTAGGAATTTTACTTCCCCAAACTGCGTTGGTTTACTGCCACTTTTTTGCAATCGTTCGCTATAATCAAACGTTTGAATACGATAGGAAAATTTAATATAGCCGAAAAAAAAAAATCGGTGTACACCGTAATATATGTATATATACGTATATACATGTATATTACGCTAAAACATGTTACATTCTAAGGATGTTGCTATAGAGACCGCCACTAAAGAAAAAGAAAAGAAGAATTTATTTATTGCATCGCGCATGTTGCATTGATCGACAATAGCAGAGGCGAACAGTTATATTACATGTATAGTTACGAAAGTATATAAACTTATCGCGAAGATTATTCACACTCGTTACACATACATACACATACACATATATACACAAACATACACAGACATTCAGAAATCAGACATCATCATTCGATCGACTCGATTCGAGACACATTTCTCATATCACGATCCTCGTTTTCCCTAGTTCAGCATCATTCTTACAAAGTAATGCGCATCTAATGAAGGAAAAAAAAATATTAGGAAAAATTTTACGCACGTCGAAAGACGTAACGAGGCGGCGTTACACGTCCGGTATAGAACATTCGTTACAAAATAATTAAGAGAGAAAGAGAGAGAGTGAATGAGTGAGTGAGTGAGTGAGTGAGCGAGTGAGCGAGTGAGCGAACGAGTGAGCGAGCGAGCGAGCAAGCGAGAAAGAGCGATAGAGAGAGAAAGAAAGAAGGTTGTACAAAAATTGTATGTAATGTTATTTTATCGGAAGTGAGAATCTTAGTGTTAGGCTGTTAATATGGTATATTATTTTGGGTAAGCGTATGTAAAAAGAAAAAAACAGCAGATAAGGACAAAAGACGAAACCGCGCTCGGAACGAGATCGTTGTTGTTGAGGTAGAAGTAGTACATTAGCAGCTCGGGGATTATATAAAGGAGACTAAAACCGATTAAGTAAACTAATGTAGAGAGACAGAGAGGGCGGGAAAGAAAGAGGAGAGGAAGAGGAAACTATTGAGTACCTTGTTGAGTATAAGTAGTCGTATTGCTAAGTCGTAAGTGCACACATGGGTGCGCGTGTGCTCTCATTCATACACATGTACACAACTATCGTTCACGCTACACACATACCCACACACACACACACACACATACGGAAAAAATATCGGACACACAAACGCGCGAGGAACGAAACAATACACAGCTACATGTACACACTGTATAATGTCAAAATTGCATGTCTACACGCGAATAGAGAGGTTCCGCAAAAAGAGAAAAAGAGAGTGAGAGAGAGAGAGAGAGAGAGAGAGAGGCAGAGAGAAAGAACGCGCGTTTGCGTCTCACTTTCGACGTTAAGTCTTTACGAGCATCTCAATTACGGCGAATTATTAGATCGAGAATAGCGTTATCTTCCATGATAATATATAGTCGAGATACAAGAGGGAGAAGGAGAAATAGAGAGAAAAAGAAAGAAAGAAAGAAAGAGAGCAGCTGGCTGCGAAGGTACCATAGAGAGATTTATTCGTCGCACCGATGATGAATCGCGATCAAGTATTGTACCTTACATTCCTTCGGCTATAAAGTAATTTAAGGAATACATATACACAAAAATACACACGCATACATACACGTACATCATGCGTTTCACCGAGTTTGTAGTGGATTATGCTGCGCACGACTAGGCGAAAGATTCATCGTTATCATTTTACGTTAGGATTGTTGTGTACACATTATTAAACGTTCGGTTTTTTTCTTGCCGACAACACCTACACACAGAAATACGTCACATACACACACATACACACACATGCACACATATACACACACGAGAACGCAAACGGTGCATTACGAGCAATGAGGCAAAATTGCGTATTTTTTAATATTCTGAGATGTCTCGTCTCCGTGTGAGAAGGAGAGTGAGAGAAAAAAGAAAAAGGAAGAGAGAGGAAAAAAGGGTATTGCGATTCAACTTCGTACTAGACGGAGAGAGCTAAGATTATCGATATTTACGCTAAGTTAGTAGTAAAAAAAAAAGAAAAAAGTAGTCGTAACTCTTCAGAAGTACGGATACACTTTTAGACGAGTAAGGAACCGAGAAAGCAGGGAAAAACATTGTAATCGGTTGTCGTCGAGATAATAATCGAAGAATCGACGCGATTGCATCCGTGGTATCGTCGATTTCGTTCCGCTGAACCGATCGTTACGGTCAGGAATATCTCATCGCTAATCAATACATGTCATTAGGAAACATCATTCAAAATCGTTCAATTATGTCATCATGTGCAAAGAAGAGCGAAATGTTCCGTAATGTCAGTGCAAGTCTGCCGAGATCGCTCTCGAAACGCGAATCTTCATCGTTCTTGTTGAAGAATCGCTCGTCCTCGTCGAGAATATTGCTCGTCTTCGTTTCTATGTTAGAAAGAACGCTGAAACATCCAATCGACGAGAGGTGTCAATTGTACATACAATCGTTTGTCATAATACAAATCGTGTCTTACATCGCGCAATCTTCGTTCGTACGTAATCTGTCCGATCAGTCTAGTCTCATCTTCGTTTTCTCCTGGAGTCTCCGCCTGAAAACTTTCGGGCTTATCACTCAATGTGAAAATTGTCAAAAGATTTTTTTAGAGAGCGATCCAATGTCCGAGGTGCGAAATTGCGAAAGAAAAAGAGAGAGAGAGAGAGAGAGAGGGAGAGAGAGAGAAAGCTACTTATGCTCTACTAATCGTATTAGATAAGATCGATTCGTTCATCGCGACCGACGACACCACGGATGTCCGCGTAAGAGAAATATCTCGTAGAGATATGTTCACCGCTTTAAAGCAGAGATTCATGTAAAGAATTTATTTACAATGGCGAAAAAGAGAGGAAACGAGACAATTTGTCAGTAACGTAGGTGAGAGAAACGCGCGACGTCGAGGTACGCATACGTTCGTACGTAAAGCTCGTAAGGCTTACGGAGAGAAACAAACAAACAAACAAAAGAAGAAAAAGATTCTCTATTTATTGATTAACGCGGAGCGTTACGCAACGCTTGGTTTTACTTTCGCACTTTCGCTCGTCGATGAAGTTAACAAGTAATACCTGCATCCCGACGTGACCTCTTTGGGCACACCGCTATATCTCTGGTTATTTTTTTTTTTTTTTCATTTTTTCCCCGTTGCACCGACGAGGTATAATTTAGTTCACGGCATCTCTTTTTCCCGCGCGAAGAGCTAATCTTTACGATATATTTACTTTACACTCTAACCACATTTATTTGCATCCATAAATTGTTATTCTTTCATCATCAATTTATTCCATTCAATGTTAAATAATTATATAAAAGTTTAAACAAACAAAAAAAGAGAGAGAGAGAGAGAGAGAGAAGAGAGAAAAAGGAGAAAACATAATATATTAACTATTTTCACTCATGAGAAAGCATCGTTACCTGTATGACAAGTGACCATAATAAGAGCATAATAAACAATCGCTCATTAAATGCATTCTGTTGTTCTTCATTTCATGACCTGGCCACCGTCCATACATCCATCCATCCATTTGTCCATTCAGTGTCGCAAGTATGATCATCATACGCCATCGTCTGTCATTCACCAGGCTCTCGTGTTCCCGTTGAATCTCTCGCGCTGAATCTGACACAGTGCCCGCGGTTTCTCGTCAAGAAAGATTTCTCTCACTGAGAAAGGAATCCAAAGAAGCGAAAAGTCTCGAAGCGCAATTGTAATTTTTGTGGAAATTGGGAAGGTGTCGCGCGCGCGCGATTGGAATAGTGAAGGCGACGATGGCAAAGGAAAGAACGAGAGAGTGAGGACAGCCTTCCAAATTTCGACAAAAACTCACGAAGGCGGTAGGCACGATTGTAAAAGTCGTAGCATTTATCGGCAGAAAGGTCGCGACGCTTGTTATGTAAATCTCCCCAATTACCGCCACGCGATCATTTCTCAACGGCGGTCCGACCGATCCTCTATCCCTGTCGTTTCGATTCCGAAAGGCAAGAGACAGTAAAGACGGCTGAACCACAAGTCGCCACCCCTTTTTTAACCGAGCGTTAATTAATCGACTAACTAAACTAATCTGAGATAGAGATGCACGTCTCTCGTTATTCCGACATCTTCATTGAAGCGAAAGACGCGATAAACTTCTTCGCGACATTCCCCCCGCGCGCCTCCGGAAGCTGTATTGTCCGTCTGTTGCCCACAGCCGTACCCGTTCGCCAGCCAAAGATCAATTTTTCTAAGCCACACGTGTGTGCGGCTTTCGAGCCAGACCTCGCTCGTATCAGATCGCTCGATATCAGTATTTCGCGCGTGGCAAAATCGAGTGTGCAAACACGATTATCGTTGCGCGCCGCCGATTCTCCCCGGTGAAAAGTCGACAAGATTGACGATATTAATCACGGCAGGCATATCACATTGTTCCGCACGTATCGCACGGATATTATATTAATCTCGACTTCTTATGAAAAAATAATTATATATAAATATATTCTTTGTGTGTATATATATATATATATATATATATACACATGTATATATACCTCATTAGGGATAGCGCGTCGTAATTACGATTTCATCGAGTCTCCTGTTTTTGTTTCTCTTTTCCTTCTTGTATACTTTCTTTTTTCCTTCTTATTCTTTCATTTTTACATTCCTCCGGGTGTACAAACTCAAGCGTAAGGCGAGATGCCACTCTAACTAGTCAGTAAACGAAGGATTGTATTTTTTACGCGACGAATTATTTGTAATAAAAGAAAGAATTATAATTGAGAGAAGTGCAATGGCGAAGAGAGAGAGAGAGAGAGAGAGAGAGAGAGAGAGAGAGAGAGAAAGAATGAGAGTGTGTGTGTGTGTGTGTGTGTGAGAGAGAGAGAGAGAGAAAAAGAAAGCGTCGAGTAGACACGGTCTATTTTGGATGAATTTATTGTCGAGCTTTTGATAAAAGAAAACGAAATGTGTAATGTACTGCAGAAGTAACAAATAAAAAGCTATTTTTGTACGAATAATTGGAGCAGCCTCGACAATTTATTCCACGCTTGCTTCCGCGCGCGTATAGAACGTACCACCCGATCGATTGACGGCGAAATCATGAATGCGGTATCACGTTCGCCGCAACCCTTGCAAATTAATCGATCCAAGAGGACACTCTTGGAGAAGGCACTCGAGAAAGCGAGGCAGGGTGACAAAGCGCCCGGTAAATTTCTGGTAAGTTCAGCATTTATATTTGATCGTTTCCACCGACTTTTTTTTTCCTATCAGCCTTCTCACATACCGATTAAAATTTTCATGAGACTCTTCGTCGAAGACGTCGTCGCTCCTCTTGTCTCTGATAAGATTACACCCACCTGATCAGAGATGCATCTCTGCATGAGATTATCTCGGTCGAGGCGACGAACGTGACATCGGCGGCGATCAGAGGAGAAGAGCAGAAACGTCCGACTGAATTTTCTAGAGAATTTTCGGGATAGAGCTCAACGAAGAGAGCGTGAATTTCGCGTCGTAGATACGCGCGTCAGGGTAATACGCACAGAGAGGAAGAGACGGAAATGTTCACGGTAATCGTGAGCGTTTGTATTTTGCAGATCTCTCGTTACAGTGGGACTCGCTCGCAATAAAAAGTATACCACTACAGACGAAACGCAGTTTCATTCGGGTGACAATAAGTGTGCATGTGCATGCGTGTGTGTGTGTGTGTGTGTACATTGTTTGGCTGAATGTACTCGTACTGTTCTTTTGATCTTTCGTCGCGCAACTACAAAGTAAATATACATACACTATGACACAGATTCCTTTTATTCGCTAGAAGCGGTGCGCGAACATGCAAAGACCGTTTTCGCTCGCAAAATGTCTACGCGCCCCGTACCGTTTCGGACTGACGTGTGTGTCACTAACACTATTATTGTTATTATTATTTTATCATTATCATTATCATTATTATTATTATTATTGTACACTCTCATTTGCTCATATCTAACGACCTCACGCATCCTCTTATAAACGTTACGCCTTCTCGAACATCTACTTTAGGGCCATTGCGACGCGGGACAGAAGATTATGCTTGTTGCCATTACCTCATCGGACTATACAGCGATACTGCTAACTGCATGTGCAATCGTTTCGTGAAAGCGACGTAAAGGGCGAGTTCACATTCGCGAGGTCGGGTCGTGAGAGTATCGAGGACACGTCGAGGATGCGCGCGAGTGACGTGAGAAAGGTGAGAATGGAACACCGACTCGCGCATTGTGATAAACATTGTGACAAATGTCGTCCACTTTCACTCGCCTTTACGAAATATGAGCGACGCTCGAGGCTACACAAGGTTTTCGGATAAAAACTACGCAAGAACAGACGCTTTCGGGGACGCGACCAGCATGCGGAATATTAAGGACGACGGTTCCCTGATTATGACATTGTTCCGCCGGAAAATATAATTCGGAGGTTGCTCGCCAACACTTCATGTTATTGAAGCTTATTGAAGCTCGCGATGAAAATTCACGCACGGAGGACGATTAACGCAACTTTCAAGTTGTGATCCACCAGAAGCAAAAGTAACCGAGAGGTCTCTTGCAGACCGAGCATCAGGAGTGGATACGAGTGACGAAGCTTCGTTCCTCGTTCAATCGACTCTACCGCAACGATATTGTACCTTCAAGACTGGTTATGGAGATACTTGATACCAAGCATTAAAGGAAATCGCTACAATCACATCCAAATTCCTCCATGAGGATCTTTCAGATCCAAATAAAAATTCTATCCCTGTAGTATTTTACACGCTAATTGCCCCGAATTACTATGAAAACTGCGATAACACAGCTCGTTCTCGACCAAGTTAACTTTCCACTTTCACGATCCTTCATTCGTCGTTCTCTTTTTTTTTTTCGTGCAAATCCCTGTGTACGAGAATGCGAACCAGAGACTCGACGTAATGATTGCAAGATTGCGAGATTCAAACGCGAGATCCCGCAGGTTAATCCTGAAGCAATCGCTCATGAGCGGCGAATACACAATAATAAGCGCGAAATGAAGAAGAGCAAGGTCTAACACAACATGGCGGACATCGCTGCTCGGCTCGCATTTTCCTTCGTAAATCAAATGACACAGTGTGTATACGTTGTTGTACAAAACGGAAGCGGACACGCACCACTGCAGTTTCGATTTGGCCATACGCCTGCTTTGTTGTAACGGTGAACATTCGTGGAGCGGAGTTTTAGGGGAAGTATAGTTCGTACAAAGATTATATACATTATTATCTAATCACTCGGTTGATTAATATACGTCTGTTGTGTCTTCTTTACGTGTCGTGTGTCTGTTACGTGTATGTGTACGTGTGCGCGTATAACACGGAATGTACGTTCTTCGACCCGAGTATTACATGTGAGACGTAGAGCTTAAGTGTGTGTGTGTGTGTGTGTGTGTGTGTGTGTGTATTGCGACGATTCTATATATATATTTATATATATATATATATATTTACTTCTTTTAAAATCTTCCATTAGAAAGCGCACAAAGAAGTGTATACCTTCGTTATTACGATACTATATCTCCTATAGAAAAATAATTGCGAAGGCTGGAGGCTACATGGAAGAAGTATTCGTCGAAATCTCAGTACAAGAAGGCAGTTACAACGTGCGCGTTACATGGAGAAAATCATCAATCGTATCGACGTGAGATTTCGACGCGAATGCGACGTGACGTTTTCTTTTTCTTTTTCCGTGAGTGCCGGAGGAGGGAGGATAACGCGGCAATAAGGAAGAATGCCAATGAAATCCGATTATGTCGGTTCGATCGATCATGTGTTTCTCGAATATCTACAGGAGTCTCGGACGCATGGCTCGTCGTGAAAAAACGGCGCGCGTTACTACACGTACGTTGACGTAGAAAAATCCCCTTCGGAGTACGCGGAGGCGGGCGGCTATGCAACAACTTTGCTTTACAATGAGCGACTCTATAAAAAAGATCCGTGAAAAATATCGGCATCTCGCATTTTCGTCGCGCTCTCGAAACCGGAGGGAGAGGCTCCTCCCTCCGTTGCGTCGTGAGAGCGCATAATCGTGTACTTTGATTCTGTTGGCGTCGACGGCGGCGTCTCCGTGCGCCGTTTGATTTGCGCTACCATACATACGCGGTTGTACTATGTGTAATAAACGGCATTTCAATGGCACATTTCGATCCTCGCGGTCGCGAACGCGCGACATCATCGACGACCGCGGTTCTTAGTTACGCAACGTAATTTTCAAATTAGCGGACAAACCAGCATTTTCGCGATTATCTGACACAGCGATGATCGTTTTTGTGGCTCGCGATTCTCAGTGAGGAGGATACAATATTCGGAATGTCAAAGGAAATATGCGATTTGTACTCTCTTCTTTACACGTCGGGAGATACATTTGTGCGGAGCGCATTTCCCTTATTACACGTTCCCCTTCGAATTGTGGATCGCTTCACGTTTCGAATTTGTCTGCTGCGTGTGTACTTCATATCACGTAAGTATGAATCATTATCCTACGCTCACCGGCGAAGATCTCGGGACATTTACTATGATTCAATAGCAACATCCTCTTTTCCTTACGCTATGTCTCAGCGCGAAAAAAGTCAAATAAAAAAATTTATAAATATATAAAAAGTAACCTTTTGATTTCAACAGAACCTATTTAGAATAGGTCGATATATCTTACAAAATATCGTGTAAAAATATCGCGTGAAGAATAAATTTCGATTGATGATAAAAACCCGTAGAAAACGTAACAAAAAACTTAAAAGTAGGCCCAATACCTCTCTCTTTCCTTTCATTTTCTTGTTACACGCGAGTACAGAAATGGCGTTACAGAGTGTCTTCGTTCTCTGTGAAGCGGCTCTCTTGTCGCTCGGTGTGATGTGTGACGTAAGATCGAGAGGCCATCGGTCTGATGCTCATTTTTTCTCTTAACCGGCCGCTAACCATTTCCGCACCGGGACGCAGTTCATAAGTGACAAAAGGTGCTGCTTTGTCGATTTAACGATATCGGACACTGTACAATGCACGAGTTATTGTTATCGAGGGAACGCAATCTACAGGCCGCTGGCGCACAAATTTAAGTCAACTGTTCGTGCATGCACGCGCTGTCGCAACGTAATTAATCTTCGCGGCAGATACGTGTACATTTACCCGGCCATTTGTTTACTCAGTGTACCTAAAACGCTAAATACGATGCTATATACGATTTCGAGTTTCATTTTTCTCTTTTCTGTATACGCGTTGAAAATAATGAAAACGGATGATTTGTTTGGCGTAACATCCCGGCGCCGACTACATAAAAATCGCAACGGCCAGCCGAATGCGATTGTACTGTATAGACGTCGGGAGCGCTACCCAGGTGCCGTAAAGTGTACATTTTTCCAAAACCAAAACTAAACTGTCCCGATTTAACTGCTATCGTTTCTCTCGTATAACCTGCAGTCTGTACTCGATTCAGCGATTGGCTGCCTTTTTTTTCAGAGATTACAACTCTTGTTTACGACGAAACACAAGCTCGATTAACCGCGCGTTACATTAAAAAATTGGACAAGGACAAAAATGAACACTGCGATATCACCTTTTGTCACTATGAAACCACACGACGTCGGACCACCTCCTTTCGCCCTTCTAAAGGACATTAGAAGAGGAAAAGGGTGGTCTGCCTCGCTTGCTACTTGGTCGCCTCGGGCGGACAATCGGGCTGGTTGTTGGGGTGAGCCGCGGTGAAGGCCGGATGGTGCTCCAGGTGACGATCCACCCTGAGAATCGTGGGGAAGGGTCTGAGATCGACGTGAAACCTCCGCGCGTTGAATATCTGTGGCACCAGGCAACAGTCCGCTAACGTGATTTCGTCACCGACGCAATATTTGCCCGCGCTCGACGATAATAGCTTTTCCACGGCTGAAAAAAAAAACCAGTCTTATCAGTGTGTTTATGCTGGGGGCTACACGCACCGCGCAGAGACGTCGTCGCTTGGTGACTTAACGCTTGGCGATTGAACGCGTGTTGTTTTCTCGAACGCATCGAAGGTCACCACGTAGCGTGTCATTACTGACGATTTTAATATGCAACGAGCGATTACAATTGCATATGTTCGCACGTTCGGAATATTTAAAAGTCGCATACTGGAGCATGCAAGGTTATACGGTTGATTGAGGAATTAATTTCCACCGTTTCTTAGCTTAACATATGAAACATTAAAGACTTGATTTCCTGCTTAAAATTGATTAATTAACTGGAAGTCGCCGGTGAACGACGCTATGATTCGTCACCTCGCGTCTGATTAATTTGCCGAGTAAGTCATGGCTCATTTCACCCAATAAATTACACATGTCGTAGTTAATGGGAAGCTGAGAAAACCAGTTGACGAATGTTTGGTTTGTAAGACTGGAAACTGATGCGTCAATAAAATCAACCGTCTACATGTTATCTCCGCTGCTATCTCGAGGTACCTGTAAATCCCCTGGTGATCCAATGTTGCGCCCACTCCTTTTTACGCTCTTCCCCGACGTAGATCAGAATCGTAAGATTTTGCAGCGGCTGTATACCACTGGCAATCACCTCGCAGATTTCCCTGACCCTGGCCCTCTTGACAGGATCCGCCGGCATCAGCGGACGGCTCGGCCTGGTCTCCTCCAAGTATTGCAGGATATTTAACTGCGTGAGAAAGAGCATAGCTCGTAATCGTCGTCCGGACGGGAAGACATCGCAACGACAACGAGAATGAAAGAAAGATGAATCGTTAATTAAACACTCACAGACTCTATTAGCGTGTGATTGTCGATGTGGAGCGCGGGGACCTGCTCCATCGGATTGATCTCACGGAATTCATTGGAATGCTGCTCCCCGCCGCCCTTCACCAGGCTCACCGGCTTTATGTCGTACGGTATCTCCTTCAGGTTCAACGCTGTCGACGGAAAAACATATCGTTAGAAACGCGTTTGCAACTGCAAACTGGTTTGCAAAATTTAGCAACTGGACTAATGAGTTTTAACGCGTCATCGAGTATTGAAGTGCCGTTCGACACGCTCCCCGATTTCAGTTGCTCGTTCACAATCGTTACGTGATGTAATATCATGAAGCAAGTAAAAACCGCATACCGTATCTAAAAAATAACTCTTATCAACATTCCCGACTGCAATCTTCTAAAAATAGAAATGTACTCAATACTTTCATGCAGATCTCGGGAAAAAGGATCGAGTGCCTGGAAAGATGTGATACTCGTCACTGCAGGTTGCGACATCATCGTGTGCAACCATCGTTCTCCGTGGAAGGCAACGAAATCTTCACTCACCAATTCTCACCCTCCACGAGCAGGAACTCCGCCAGTAGGAGTAGAGCACCGGCTGTCGGAAGAAACGAGAGGCAACGTAAATCCTCGTGGCAAAGTTCGTTCGTGCACGACCGGTCTTCGAGGACACACCGACCGACGTGTGATTCGAGGCCGATCGTGAAACCAGATTCGCGCGCGCAGGTGGAAGAAGAAATTTACGACGTTTGCTCGGTAGATGTAAACAAGGACGTTTCAGACGTGCATTCATTAAGGAACGTTCCCCGTTCCAATCGTCGACGCGATACTAATGTCGGTTTAGCATCGTTCCACTCGTCGAGGAATTCCCTCGACGAATCGCTCTCTCTAACGATCTGGCAAACTCGGTCTCAAGCGACTTCTTTTTTTTCTCTCAAAATCGAAAAAGTAAGCTCTGCGACGAATGCAATTATCCGAGAGCGATATACCAAAAACATGTCGCCGTAAATATAATCGGCGAAATTTGATACAATTTGCAGCTGAGCGAACTGCATTTTCCGCATCATCAAAATTACTCGAGCAAGTTATATTTTATGCATAGTTTTAATTTAAATAAAATTACATGTATTAAATTATTTAATCACTTGAGTTCGGAAATTATTCGATCGCTCAAGGCATTAAAAGATCCGTTAAAACAGTTTCTGAAAAATACGTAAAGTCTCCGGAATATTTATACGCCTCTTTCAGATGTTTCGTTAACTTTTGCCGTCCCGGATTATTATTCCGGCAAGTTTCTCGAACGTGCAGTTCTTTTAGCGCAGAAATCCCAATACAATCAACATGCGAAAGATGCGATCGATGAACAATTCCACTCAACTACTGCGAACGATTTCGAAACATGCCAGAGATAACTCTGCTGAATTTCTCGATTGATAAGCTACGATTGACATTTATCTCGCGAGTGCACCACTCGGTGCCGACTAAAGTTTCTCGTATGAAATAGCTGCGCGCGCGCGCAGCCGGCAGCCGCACATTACAATGCACACGTTACATGCAGTCGTACGTTACACGTTATATCGGCGTGTTACATTCGCGGTACCGCATGCTCGCTCCCTCCGAGGGGCATAGCGACGAGAGCTCTGTTCACGCGTGGCAGTATTCGCGAGACGCGGCTCCCGGCTGAATAGAGCTCAATTTCCGATGAGAAAGGTGCGGGAAAATGAGCCTTACGCGTTTTCACAATCTCTATCGTCGTCGTCGCTCACTTGCTCGCTCGCTCGCTCGCACGCACGCACGGTCCTCGTCGACGCGCGACCGTGATGTCGGGATCCAGAGCCGAGTCTCTGGGTTAGCCTTCGCCCACACATCTGGATACGACGATTCCGCTGTGATGCTTCCCGCGGTGTTATGGCGCGGTATACATGCGACGAAGTCGATGTACGAGTCGCGGACCGGACCGGCTTAGCTCGAACGCTACCTCGTCGACAGTCGCCTCGTCCGCAGAAGGTTAAAATATTCTCACTTCATCACTCACCTTACCCATCACGGACATCTCGTCGGCCTCTCGTCGTCGCGAACAGACTCGCCCGCTCGATTATCACCTTGACCAGCGGCTCCTCGGTGCCAGCGCGCTCGCCGCCGTCGGAATCTGTCAGAAATGTAATTCGGAATCGCGGTGAACGCGCGAAATCGCACCTCCTCACCCCTTTTATTCGATTGCCACAGCCGTTCCCCCCGTTCCACCGGCTACATTCCGGCCCGACCGGCGTGCGTCCAATCGCCGGGCGCCCCGACGGGGCGCTTTGATCGCTCACACGGGGCTAAATGAGACACGTTGTATATACGTCGACAAAGCAACAGAATGCCCGTTGATCTCCGTCTCTTTCAAACGCAACCCTCCTTACTGTTACTATTATTATTACTATTTATTAATAAATCCAACTCCACGTCGAACACTTTTAACCACAGGCCTGGAACGATCGATTATTACTTTCGAGCGGTCGATGAAACGTACACATAGATATCGGTCTGTTCTAAATGGCTGCACTGTCTGCGCTTAAAATAAAATAAAATAAAATAAAATTGATATATATTCGGCAGTTGGTGAAAGAGGGGAAAATAAAAGATTGCAGGATAGTTCAAAAGTGTACAAAAGGCAAATCATAAAGCAGTGGAGGGAAGTCTGAAAGCAGTCATACGGTGAAAATTGTTGGAACACTTTCTAAACGCGCCCTCTAAACAGGTAGAGATAAAACATGAATGTGTAAATTTTTAGCGCTATCGGTCAAGTCGCTTGATATGCGTTCACATTAAAGGACCAATTTGTATCAATTTATATACAAGTATCAAAAATACATTTTAAAGATGAAATCTTCAGTTTCCTATTCAGTTTTTATGTCAGTCGCAATATAGTCAGTTCTGTTTTCTACCACTGAAAATAATAATTATGTAATTTCTATGCATGTTTTTAACTATGTAAAATATGTAATTAATAAATTATTTTTTACTCGTGATGCGCAAAAATCATACCTTTATTACTGGACTACCGCATTCGTTTTCTGTCCTTTTCTATATCTTATATCTATGTAAAAGTTTGCGCTGATCTCGCACATCTTACCCAATTTCCAATACAATACGTGCCGTTGGAGAGACCAAACGAACGATCGAATTGGAACGATCGAATAACGGAACGACTTACGATAAAGTTACCTTTTATAAGGTTTGCGTTATTCCTAGTTATATATGTGTCCAAAAAAAGATCTTAATTTCTTAAATATATCGATGTGAATAAAGTCTATAAAGTTAGGTACCAAAAGAATGAGGTTATGTCGGTTCTTCATCACAGGGACGATACAAATTTTCTCTGGACTGGCAGATCAATTTGAGAATAATGATGAATTCATGGCGATGGTATAAGAAACATGATAAACAATGGGGTATGCGAGCAAGAAACAAACTGGCGTCGATATATGCTTTCATAGCATGGAATTGTGCAGGCTTTGCATTCTACGTGTTATTAAAAGATAAAATACCAACCGATCCAGCAGAAAGAAGTATGTATTCTTGGCAATTTTCACATCCGATTTCGCATGAGGAAACTGGTGGAATTAATTTTTCACAGGAGCATCGTTGTATAATTTAACCGGTGTGCCTGGTAATCTGCATGTATATCAGATCAAGGGTTTTAGGCTTACAAACAATTTTGACGTGCAGAAGCCTGAGGATCTGGAAGATGCAATCGAAGAATAGGTAACATTCAATAATTATTATTTCTCGAAAGTTACTTGCAGTATACAATAAAATATCAAAAGAGACAAGTTTCACTAAGAAAACTTTTTACATTATCTACAAACATGTACAAACGACACATCAAGGATATTAAATCGTTTGTTGCGTAAACTTCCAAGAGAAATCTTGTCATCAGTCTCGAGAGGAGATCTACCTCACATTAATACAGATCATTTGATCACTCTGTCAAGGAAGAGATCTTCGTAATGCAACAGCACCAGCATTAGAGCCACTTGATTCTGGTCTCAATTCCTTCAGTCTCTGATCCATCTCACACAATAAGGAAGATCTATAAAATCGTACAAAATACAATTTATACAAATAGAAACATAATACATCGAGTCACAATGTCTCAATATTAGATCTTTTAATTAAAATCAATTTTTGCCAGAAAAATGCATCCAATTTGGAAATGCGATTTTCTGAAGTTAAATCAAATTGTCAAACTCAACGAGAAGCTTCTGTCCCAAGTTCTAGGCATGTTAGTGACAGAAAAACCCCAACCTTGAGAACATTTTTAAGAAATCACAATATACAGTATAATGTATTAAAAGTCAAGACCATGTATTAAATTCTCAAGAACTGTTCAGTAAGGTCTATGATTTAAGTTTTATCATAAGGAGAGAAAAGAGATCATGTTTGGTAATTCTTTTGTTGGACATTGTTAGATTCGTGCCCATACCTATACTCTTCGTAGCGCATCACGACCTCTTCCAGTTCCTGCTTATACAGCCTGGTGAGCATGGCGTTGAAACAGTCCAATTCAGGCAGTCGAAAGAGCTCCCAGCGTAGTTTACGATCTAGAGCGATCGAGGCTCTGCTGTACACGTACAACCAATGCGGTATTTCCTCGTTGAGATAAGGGTTGGCCGGGACCAGGACACTGTGAGAGTGGAAATGAGTGTGCCGCGGTGGTGAAACCACACGCACCGCTTGCATCTCGTGCGGGTAACAAGGATGCTCGTACTGCGCTTGACGCGTGATGTGACTGAAATTGGAGAATACTCATCGTTAGGTTCTCTTCGTTACATGCATGGGATGTTAAATCTGATGCTTCGCTTATCGAGGAATATGGGGAAAGCTCTAGAAGACGTTTACAAGAGAGATGTTTTGTTTTCAGCTCCACGATATATCTAAAGCTTATCCTGTAGGTACAAATGTTCAAACATTTCAAAAAAGGCTTGATTTACCTTTAAACTAATATCTACAATTTTGGCTTTCATTGATCTTTTAATAACCCCTCGATTGTGCATCAAAAAATTCATATTATCTGTTACTAAAAATAATAAACTCGTTGATATTTCTGCTAAAAAAATACTCACTTGACATAGTAAACGCCGTACTCGGGTGATTCGATTCTCTCCCAACCAGTGGGTAGACCCTCCTTCTCGAGCGGATGTGACCAATGCGTGGTCTTCGTATTGTGATCAATATAATACTTCCGACCACGAAGCGTGAAATCAACTGACCATCCAGGAGGCAAGGGCAATTCCTCTTGTTGCTCACTCCGAGAACTCGATCTCTCCGAGTGGCATCTACTGTAGCTTCAATCATAAATTGAGACTCGGTAAAATAAGTGAATGTTAGATAATGTGACACAGATATTACACATGAAGAAATTGTGACGAGAATTTTGAATAAACTAATTGAATGAACTCCTTTCATTTGTATTATATGAAATCCATTATTATGATTGAAACATAAAAATTGATCTTTGATGTATAAAATAAAAAATTCTTTTGCCATCGACGAATTTTTCTCAAATAAAACTATATTATCAGATTTAGAATAGATCGAACTTAAAAATGTCCAAAATGAACTTAAACACGCCTACGAATTATCGCGTGAGTCTTATGCTGCATATAAATCTGAAAAATATTCGAGTTGACTTATAGGACACTGAGAAAGGTGTGTTATTGTTTCAGGAAAATTCTAGAAACTCGTAAACTCGTACCCAGCATTTTGACGGTACGCGGAGCGATTATAGTCTTCGTAACCGGTGTCGACGTCGAAGGGCATGTAAGGCATTTGCGGTGTCTGAACCCTGTCTAGATGATATTCAGATCCAGCATATTGATTAATATAAGTATGAGACATTGCGGGCGACAATTCGGCATGATACATAGGTGTCGCAGTCCTCGAGGGCATGCCGTCGTTCGTCCCTGTGTTAACGGAAAGACTAGCGAACCTGTTGGAAGGTACAATTGGAAGGATAAAAATTTCAAGAAAAAAAAAATACATGTGCATATTGCAATCCTTGAAAAAATGAGATATATATTATTAACCTTTGAGCTAAGTCCGGGACGGAACTGTTCGGTGTATATTTGCCTTCATGGCTACCGAGACCAACAGCACTGGGAGTAGTTTTCGTATTTCCGAATTTCTGTACCATACTGGGCTGTTGAGGGACGGACTATGAAAGAGAGAAAGAGAAAAAGAGAGGGGGGGAGAGAGAGAGAGGATAGACGAATATCAATCAAACAATATCTTAAATCTTTGTACATAGTTCTCGTCTAAAAATTAGAAGGAAATTATTAATTTACTAGGACAATATATTACGAGGTAATATAAATAAAATGAGAAAGAAAAACAACTTATTTATCAATTGGAGTAAAAAAGCCATTCTTTTGGTATCAAAGTTTAATATTGATGAATCTAAAGCCTAACGTTTTTTATATATTCATAGCTGAAATTTAATTTTTTCTGTTATTTTATTTTATTGGATTCATGTTAGAAAGCGTACATCCCTTAATGACGCTATATGTTTATATATAATGCAATTTACCATAGAACTTGGCATTGCTGGATGATTGTTACGTCTTCTTGTTCTTTTGTTCGGCTCTGTTGTCCATACATTGATAACTAAGTGTAAATGAAAAATTGTTATAATGCAATCTACATTTTGATTATGAAAGAAACATATGTGATGTTAGGAAACAGGATATTAGGAGATAACAAAGAGATGGTAAGGAAAAATATTCCTTTATATATATTTGTTTCATCAATATATTGATAAAAATTTCACGTACTGCGAATTTATTATCAATAGTAAGTATAATAAGAAAATATTACACATTAAATACAGTAAGAAAAATCTTAAATTTGAGAAGTTTCAGAAAATTTAGCTGAAAGTTACCAGCTAAAGATTATCAATTAATATATGTTAGAAATAGGAAAGATAAATACTTTAGAGTACCCGATATAACACGATTAAAAAGTACAGCCTGATATGATCAACAGGCAATAATTAACAAGGGACGACGAGAGGCGCAAAAGACGTCTTTAACCTAAACCTAAACTTAAAAATACCTTTTCTCGCATGCAACGATCTAATAATATCCCGCCTATTAATATATTTATGTGCCTGCATTTTCCATGCATCATCATTTTTCGAAACAAAATTTACATATACGTTAGTAATATGTATAACATTAACGAAGAAAAACGTGACGAATCGAATCTTCCCAGTTTTGAACGGAAAATGCGAGAAAAGTGTTTTTCACACAAAGTACGACGAATTGCATGCTTGAGTGCATTGGGTAGGAAGAGAGGAAGGCGGGGGGAGAGGAGGGCGAAAGAAAGTTAAATTCCCGTCGTAAAGATACGTACTTGGCATTTCAGGCGGCGTTTCTTTCTTCACGTATTTCCCTTCGACGCCCTCCTTGATCGTCCTCAGATCCTTGTTTTTACGCGACAGCATGATGAAGTCACTGTGAAACAATGGTGCTACCTAACCTATCGTACAAGTCGTAACATTGGCTCGAATTCTTTTTGCGTTTTTCTCTTCTTTTGATTATCGGGCCTTTTTACTATCTTTTGATTATCAGGAAATAAATGGCACCACTTTTTCTCGTCTCCTCCGACTTAATATCATATATTAGTTACAGTAAAATTGACAGAATTCGCTGTATCCAATGTTACTCTATATCGCGTCACATTTGAACTAGTCGAACGATCGCGAAAGGACTGAACTCATGAAAAAACGATCACTATCTTGTGTTCCTATGATTCGACGACGACGTATCTTTGCAGCCTTGCGCACGATCCTTGTACACGACGGTAAATATCAAGAGTAATATACGCGACGTTTACATCCGAACGCTCGAAAACGTCGCTTTGACAGCAATCCTGTCAAATGGCGGCAAACCACAAAACAAATCAGACACGTATGCCAGAGACCCTCTAATAAGAGTCTGGTCATAAAAGCGTCAGTGCTGATTGGTCCGGCAATTTTTGTTAACTCCCGCTCATATTTGAATCACAATAACTTCACCGTTGATACAAACGTTGTATTTAAGCAGCACAAATCAGAAATAAACGCTGCAAAAGAATGAAGAAATCTAATATGTATTTGTTCCATGTAATAATGTCTAATAATATATACTAGAAATATAAGAAATTCCTTGTAGTTTATTTTAATCTCTAGAAAGTATCTTCATGATGTAACCTTTATGTGACGAATTATCGCAAAACGTGGTGTTGCACATCCACCTGTTTCCACAATATTGTACTGCATGTTACCATATTTATTACTACAATTCTTCTTTAACTTTTAGCAGCATGGACTGTCTGTAACGTATGCGTGAGCGCATCAGAAAAGAATAGACTAAAGAGAGAGATAGCGAATATATATATATATCTTTCTCTTTGGAAGGATTTTGCCAAAACCGCAGTTTCGGCCAGACTCTTATTCTAAGGTATCTAATATATACCAACAGATTGTGCGCAACGTCGCAGAAATCATATGAATAGGGAGTTAAACTCATCGCGAGTTCGTAAAACTGTTTCAGGTATCGCGGATTTTTATGACATTAAAGATTGACATTTGAAAATCCGCATATTGATTCAGCTTAAAGCTATAATTTTTTACTTTATACGCATAATAGTTTCATTTTAGCGATACTGATAAAGACAAGCAAAAATGAAATTTTATTGTCTACCGTTCGGTTTTATCAAATTCGACCAAAATCAAGCGAAAACTCTAGATAAAACGCCAATGCAATTAATTACGAAGATATTGTTGAACGTTAAAAAAATGTTGAACGGTAATACATCAGACGTTGAAGAATGTTTTTTATTTAAACTTGAAAGACTAAGTTTGTCTGAAAAATACACTTTTCCTTTACGCTTGAAAACATATTTTACATGAAAAAGAAAAAAAAATTGGCATCAGATATTTGTGAAAAGTAACGGAGTAGAAATAATTTAGACGAGGTTTTTTTTTTAATAAATGTGTATCTATTTACGCGTAAAGAATCTTTCCTCGGACTTTCTCTCTCTCTCTCTCTCTCTCTCTCTCTCTCTCTCTCTCTCTCTCTTTTTCTTTCTCTCTACGTCTTCGAAGTCACATTACATTATTTTACAATAATTATATTTATATATTTATATATATATATATTTATATTTATATATGTATATGTCACTCTCTCTGTCTCCGTACGAGTTCTTTACGTAGTGGAGGTAAACGGAGCGTAACGCAAAGCGAGCACGTCGTGTGCGAATCTCGTGAGAAACGTACAAGAAATTTTATGAGGAAAATCATAAAAAAGAATCGAAAAACGAATCTCAAAACAATGGCAATCGTGCGTTCTTCTATCTCTCTCTTTCACTCTCACTCTCTCACTCTCTCACTCTCAGCTCCATGAAAATAGTATGAGCAAGCTGTCCACCCATTCTGTTAAACCATCTATTTTTTTTATTTTATTCGCTATCGTTATTTGTTTATCATTGTCGTTTATTATTACTTCCTCTGTTTAATTATCCTTTATTGTTACCATTATCGTTATTTTATCGTTTAGTTATTATTATGCAATGGTAAGAAATTTTAAAAACCCCACATTCCTACGGTTGCCAGTGTAGGAGCACAGCTCCGAGTGGATTTCTTATTATAATCTGCACTGTGTGTATGTGTGTATATTTGTGTATGTGTATGTGTGCGTGTGTGTCACTATTTACGCAATTATATTTATAAGCAACGGATGTTTTGGTACAATCAAATCTGTCTTTCTTTCTTTCTCTTTCTTTTTTTTTATTGTATACTCCACATTCTCCTTTCTTACTTCTTTCTTTTATTTAAAAAACAACATATATATCTCTCTTTCGCATCTCCACTTTCTCTCTCTGTCGTCCGCGTAATTAAACACCTTATCACTTGTTAACTATTTATGTTCGCCGTCACTCGCCGCGCTTTCTCGGCTTCTTGAAAAAAGTTTGTTCTAACTCGCCGCGGACACGCAGCTAGCAACAGTCTATATTAGTTAGCACATCGGCCTATATGTTTTACATCTGTATCTCTTCATTTTTATCGCAGTTTGGTGTATGCCTGTGTGTGTCTGACTTTTGTTGTATTTCGTCAATATTACTATATCCTCTTCTTTTTTCGCATATATCGCATATATATATATATATATATATATATATATATATATATATGTATGTATGTATATATATATATGTATATATATATATATATGTGTACACACACATGCACACACCCACACACACCCCCCCACACACACACACCCACATATATATATATATATATACATATATACACACACATATATATATATATATATGTATATTTTTTTTTCATTTACCTAATTTTTTACGTACCTGTTAATAGTTATCATTTATCGTATAATGTACGAATATATGATACATTTCAAACAACACCCCCGCCGGTTCCGTCGGGGGCAAGAATCCACGCAAAGGGATCAGTCAGGAGGCGACACACACACACTTAGCCGTCATCACGAATGCGCGAAATGTCGCGTCCTACGAGAATGAAAGGATCACAACGACGTGTAACTTCGTCCGTTTCGAAATTTACACTACCGATTGTCCCCACCTACTGAGAGCGCAGCGAGATCTTAGTCAAGAAGGGACTTTAAACATTTGTCGTCATTATGTGCTGACACTGAGTACATCATGTAAACAGTCGATCGTCGCCGTTCCGAGAAAGAATAATAAAACGGAAGAGAAACGAAAGTATGAAATACCCGATATTACGACACGTAAAATCATTTGGAATTCACTGATCGCCATGTAGTTGTAATCGCTGTTATTCTTGCTGTTGTTATCGTCGTCGCGTTGTCGTTATTGTTGTCAAAGAATAAAATTCCGCGATTATCTGCATCGTCTTTTCTTTTTCCACACTCCTTCTTGCAATAATTCTGCCATTCCAGTCACAACTAATAAAATGAGTTACAATAACGTCAAGAATGCCATCGTGAGACACTTTGTTTCGCTAACAACAATAATTTTTTGCATGTAGTACATGGACAATCGACGTAAACTAAGGGTTAACAATCGGGTAGCATGGTACTGTACTTCCACCTGGAACAAAATAAGAGAGGGCATCTCAGAGGGCATCTAATTAAAATTTTGTATCGAGGAAACATTTACTTAAAATTTAACTGTGACAAAAGACATAGACTTCAAAGAACAAAGTTTACACGCGCAACATCGTATATATGAAGATCCGAAAATGTTTTATTTTAAAGTTAGAAACAAATATAAGAATGATAAGAAAAAAATGTCCTACCAGCTCAGGGGCGGGCACGCGTTGTAGGTGTATTAGTGGCAGGAACTGCATTATTGGAGCTACCTGTCAGAGCATTACGTCGTTCTATCTCCAATTCACCCAGTTTCTTCCACAATTCATCTCTTTCCTTTTCTCTCTTCTTCTCTCTGTAATTCACGATTGTTAAGGAGAACGCCAACGAAATTTTGTTCTTTATAAAATATATTTTTAACACATAAACTTTTACGAATTTGGCTTAAACTTTTATATAAGACTTAATTGTGTCGAAAGGTAAGACGTTAAGAAGAAACAAAAAATTTCCGTTCCAACGCCGCAAAAATAATTAACTACAAACTATAAGAAATTTCTTAAACTTGGGCTTACTTTTGCCTTTCAGACTTATAGCTGGCAGTAAGTTCATCGAAGAGCTTGCTGTTCATCTCCATAAATGTTTTTAAAACGTTATAAACAAGAGCTATAATCGTCTGATTCCAGTGCTCCTTGCTAATTCTGTACAATGCTGGGAACATGATCCCCATTATTATATGATTGTTCTCCTCAATTAGAGACATTATATACTCGTTATTCCAAAAGTACAACGCTCTCTCCGCAACCTGTAACATACGCAACACCGACGATTAGGTGTTACTTGCATCATATCGGATGAACTTGTGAAAACTGACATGACGCAAAACACATATTCCATCTATTCCTCGCTTACCTGAAAGTGTGGTGAAGATACGCAACGTGCAATTTGCCTGAATAAAGGTTCCTGTATTTTAACAAATTGGACAGGTTCTATAACGTCCAGTATCTCCTCGATTTCACCGAGGAACATCACCTCCTTCTGGCTGCACGTTTTAGGCCAGAATTTAAGGAGGCCTCGTACAACTGGTTCTGTTAAAGTTGCATCTTTTTCCAAAAATTGCACCACACAATAAGCTAACTGCGCGTGATATATCGATAAACATTTCACTTTATGCAGTGGTAACAGCACCTACAGAAACAAACAACAGCGCAGTCGTTTTGAACGATTGTCGCAACCGAAAAATTTACGCGACTAAATATATTACGATAAAAACGATACGAAGAATTATGGAGCATCGACTACAGTTCTACAATATAATCGTACCTTAACCAAAAATTGCTTATGCTCTACTTTCAAAGGAAGAGCAAATCCATTAATAATGCTACCCAAGATTTCAAGGAGTTCACCAACTCCATTGAAATGCTCCGTTTCGTAAACAAACCTAAAATAATGAATAATGAATAAAGTGAGGCACACACACTGACCAAATTTTCAGTGCAAATTTAATATGAAATCAAATCTCGATACATTCAAAAAGTTTAACATAAGTTAATATTTGCACGTTTGAATAGGTACCTCAGGAAGATGTTGTTTATTTGTTTACGAATGAAGGCTCTAAGGCCCAGGAACTTGCCATAAATACGATGCAAAACCGTTTTCAGGAAATCTCTTTCCCTCGGGTCTTCCGAGTCAAATAGATCCAATAACTGAAACAGACAATAATATAGAATAACACTTATATACTTTAGTTTACTATATAGAATATTTTTATATTGGAAAAATTACTAAAAGTATTAAAAGATATTATATTAAGCAATGATAACGCAGTGCGACTTTCTCTCTCTCTCTCTCTCTCTCTCTCTCTCTCTCTCTTTTTTCTCTTTCTCTCTTTCTCTCTCTCTACCTGTAACACGAATTTTTGGTCGATAACTTTCTTGCCAATAGCAGGTTGGAAATCTGAAGATTCGAGAAAACGGAGGAAGACTTCGTAGACCAGCTGAAGATGAGGCCAGCTCGCCTCCAGGGTCGGATCGTCCTCTTCTGGATCAAAATCTGGATTTTCACTAGGTGGCAACGTACGGAATAGATTCGCAGAAACCTGTAAGCAGTAATACAAAAATATGCTATATAACACTTTCATAAAATTTTCAAAGTGTATCTGTAAACGTATCAATTTCACCACCAAGTTTCAGTAATTACCAATTTATTATACTAAACACACATTGTATAGACTAAGTACACATTATACTAAATACATATGTAAAGATGAAGATTATTAAACTAAAACGGAGAATATTTTATATCGCTTGTTCTCCAAGATAATACTTCCAAGAGATGCAAGACATTAAAGTAAGAAAAAGTTTTAATTAATTGCAACTGGCTTCTTCAGTTATTAAAAGAGAAAGTGAGAAATTCAAAAACTCTTCAAACTCTAGTATTTCTTCTTAACATAAATTTTATTAACTGCATACCATCTTAATAGTTTCCGGATAAACAGGTTCGGTGAGGACACCTCGTCCCGCCGTGATGTATTCCACCAATTCATTGAGCGTACTCCGTTTAATTTCCTTGCCTTTGAGATCAGCCATTGGATCCATGAAATCGAACGCCACGCAGCATTGCCGGAGCTTTTTGATAAACAGCTCCTCTTGCTCTGAAGGTGTAACATCTGTAAGGAATAAAATGATATTAATGTAGAGATGGTCTTATCGAAATAAGGAAATAAAAATGTAAAGTTAATAGGGCGTATATTTCGCTTAACCACACGCAGCATACAGGCCCAAGGGCAAGGTCAGTCTGACTGACCGCTGTCCGCTCGCAAGCTTTTCTGTTTTCGCGGGGGGGGGGGGGGAGAAGCTCTTCTCCTGCCGCGAGTGATTGACCGTACCCCTCGCACGTTACCACACCTCGCACGTGTGGTTCTAGGAGTCGGCATCCAGCCATTACTACCCGAAATCTACGTCACATTCGAGGGAACCAAAATCCGCGTCTCGCTCCTATTTCTAAGATCACTACAGTTTCGGTTAGTCTGACAACAGGCCGTCCTCGGCCGTTCGCCTCTTACTCACTATCTTCCGCTCTTGAATCGATTTCCTGCGAACCTATGGGATTGTAATCTTTAAACCATGGCTTTATATTTGCCACTTCCCACGTACTTTGGTACGGTCTCTGGGATATTTGACATCCTTCTATGTCTCGGATAATATATCGATTATTCCTAAGTCGACTATACGATCTACTATACGATCCGTGATAAGCTGGACTTGATTTTCCTCCAGCGGTCTCAAAGTTCCTAATTATGGCAAGATCTTCCTCTTCATATTCTTCCGCGGGTTTTCGCTTCTTATTTACATTAGTCTCGTTGTAGGCGCTCGCTTTTACAATTTCATCCGCAGCTGTCGATCACATCTTTGTAAGGTCTCTTGGTTTGGGTTCAGACTGTTCCTCTATGTATTCGCGCAAATTATCGACTATTTGGCTACGTTGCGCTACTCCGAACAGCAGTCGGCTAGGCGTGTCGCCGGTGACTCGACTAACGGTTCGTTGCAAATTCGATCTCTTCTAGCGATTTATCCCAGTTTTTCCCGTCGTATAACTTTCCTAGAGCCGGTCCTAAAATACGATTGTAACGCTCGACTTGACCGTTCGCCTGTGGAGATCCGGTAGCCACTTTTATATATTTAATGTTCGCTTCGTTCACAAACTCCTCGAACTCGTTCGATGTAAAACACGTGTCACGATCGAATATCAGAATTTTCAGTCGGCTGTAAGCACTAAAATAATTTTTGAGACATCTTGTTTCGCGCATAGTAGTCGTCTTTACCGTATAAAATCGCAAATATTTCGAAAACGCATCTACGATGACGAATATCTACTTTTTGCCGCATTTGTTTTATCTACAGAACCGAAATGGCCCACGTGCATCGTGTCGAAGGGAACGCTTCCCTTTTCTCTCACGAACATAAAGCTTTCCACCTTTCCTGACGGCTTCGAGAACGCAAAGCACTTTAGACAGTTCTTTATATGGTCCGAATTTTGGCTTTCGTCTCTGGAAACCAGTGTTTCACGCAACAATGCATAGGTTTCTCCATTCTGAAGTGCCCAAAATCATTGTGATATTTATGGAGTAGTTCCTACTCTATCGCTTGAGGGACATAGAATAATATTTTGTCTCCCCTTTTTCGGTATACGAGTCCGTTCCTCATCTCATATAGACCGTCTCCATAGAGTCTCATATAGACGTTCCAGACGTGCTCGTAATTCCGCAATCCGTTGATCTTATGACTGACAGCTGCTAAATTAAACTCAAACATATTTGCCTCTGCGATCAGAATATTGTTTACGCGGCTTAGCGCATCTACATGAGGCATTCTTTTTCCGGGCCGATGTTCAGTCGCGAAATCATAATTTTGTAGTTCAAGAACCGAACGAGCAATCCTGAGATTAATATCCTTTTTGTTTAACGTTAAAATCAGCACGTTGCAATTGGTGACTATCTTAAGTCGGATCCCTTGCAAATAAATACGAAACCTCTTTATAGCGTAAATTATCGCGAGTGTCTCGAGCTCGTAACTATGATATCGTGCTTCAGCCTCAGATGTCCTTTTTGAAAAATAAAAAATCGGGTGGAATTTTCCGTCAGATTTTCGCTATAAGAGCACTGCACCGAAACCTTGCTTACTCGCGTCACAGTGAAGCTCGGTTTCGTCGTTCGTACGAATTGATTGATAAAATCGGACTGCAAGTTAATTTATCCTTCAATGTTTCAAACGCATTCATCTACTTTGATCCGAACTCACTAAGTTATATAATGATCCAGCAATCAACGAAAAGTTTCTAATAAATTTTCTAAAGTAGGAGCCTAGCCCCAAGAAACTTTGCACGTCACGAGCACATCTGGGAGTCGGAAAATCTTTTACCGCAGCGATACCTGAATCGTTTGGACGTACTCCTTCCGCCGTAATCGTGTACCCTAAGAACTCGATCTTTTGACAATAAAATTTGCACTTATCCAAGCGCAACTGTAATAAATTTTTTATGAGTATTTTATAAACTTGGCGCAGTACCTCTAAATGTTGTCCGATCGTTTTTGTTGCAACGAGAAAGTCATTCATGTAGACGACATTACCTTCCTTTATCAGATTGCTAAAAATTTCGTTGATATACCGGTGAAAACGAGCGGGCGCGTTTTTCAGACCGAAAGGCATTTCCAGGTATTCAAATCGTTATACTCCAAAGGATATAACGAAGGCCGTATACCTTAGAAATTCTACTGACTTGATAACACTGCTCGAATCTAAAATTTTGTCCGCCGTTCACTGACACTCGACGCGTTTAAGATATTCGTTACCGCTGCACTACTATTCCACCACACTGGATATCTGCGTGTGCTCGCTCGTCAATGCCGTTGTTGTCTGTTTTTTCTGCATACACTCTCGAACACGATGGTCGGTCGCTTCGCATTCGAAGCAGGAACCTCGTTTTCTCCTCGGCTTGTCGTAGTTCCTCGCGAGGCGTCCCAATTTGTTACAGTTGTAACACTTCGTCGTCGCATCATTCCGTCGATGTTCTGCTTTCTTGATGACCGTCGTCTTGGGCAGTGGCTTACTCTGAAGAACTCGAACTCTTGGATCAGTGTGGCTTCTCTGCTCAGGAGGGAGCGTCACTTTGCCGAACGCTCTCATAAGATCCTCCTTCCGCTCGAAACAATGCATGCGCGCATGGTTGCGCAACTGCACATCTGGAATTCCATCGATCAGATGTTCCACTATCTCCTCCTCATCCAGTAGCACTCATCCGGCTAGTATGATCTTGCTGAAATAATAATTGCTGAACGATGCGCCGCTTCGCCAAGTCCTTCTCTGAAAGCGTCTCCGTCTACCTTCTTGCGAGATCTTTTCTTTCCACCGTCCACTCAGATCATACTTGTGTAATCTCTTCATAAGTTTTATCTTGCTTCCTTTCTGCGAAAGACCCAATTGTCCAAGCGTGTTTCTTAGTTGTATAATTCTTTACTCTCCATTTCAAACAAAATCCGCGTCACGCGTAACCGTAATTGCCACTAACTCTGCATAAGCCAGACACTAAGTCTCGTAGTCCTAATCCCGCGATCTCGGTTGTTACCGCGTGATCTCAGTCCTTATTCCACTTCTGACCAACTGTAAAGATGGTCTTGTCGAAATAAGGAAATGAAAACGTTAATAGGGTGTATATTTTGCTGAACTATACGCTTGCAGGCCTGAGGACAAGATCAGACTGACTGACCGCTGTCCGCTCGCAAGCTTTTTTTGTTTTCGCGAAGTGAAGAGGTTCTTCTCCTGCCCCTCGCGCGCTTGTCGCGCGTTACACACCTTGCATGTGTGTTTCTAGGAGTCGGCATCTAGCCCGACTCCTCGTTGTTACCCGAAATCTACATCCCGTTCGAGGAAACAAAAATCCGTGTCTCGTTCCTATCTCTAAAACGTCGTCTACAATGGCAGTAAGCAGTAAGAAGTAAGCGTAAGCGGTAAGAAATAAACTAACCACAGTCGATTATGACAAAAATAATCAACTGTGATTGGTCCATTTCTTACTGTTCACGCTTATTTCTTACTACCATTGTAGTTTACTACCATTGTAGACGACGCTTAAGATCATTACATGTCTGAAAGACTCTTCGAGTTTTACGACAAGGACATCTTTGAAGTTTATGGAAGAGATAAAAACACACGTATACACATCTTCACTGTCGATGAACATTGCCGGTTCATTACAAAATAAAAAATTCTTTTTTCTTTTCGAGCGATATGAAATGTAATAGTGTTACTGAAACGCAAATTTCGAGCTGAAATTTGCGTATGAAAGACAGAACTGCAGAGCGAGGAGAGAACGAGGACAAAATCGATATCGTTCGCTAGGAGTAATCAATTTATTGAGAGCAACGAAATATACGTACGCCATATATTAATAAGACGCTTGGCTACTATTTTTAACCGTTTATTGGTAATAGATAAGCGAATAAATGTCCAATAAAACGTTATCATTTCTTTTGCCTCTAAATGTGTAAGTAAACAATTTAATTGAGCCGATAAAAAGCGGAGCCATATAAGCCATCCTGACAATACGGCGCGATAGACTATGATGATATCGCTGTACGAGCAAATTATGCAGAGTGCATCTTCCAGCTGGTTATCTTTCAGATTTCTCGATGAGTTTTTAATCAATCTCGATTGAGAAAACCCGTAAAAAGTTGTCACGATTACGAAACATAACGTCAGAAAAAAAAAAGCCAGTCGCTCTTGCATGTAAATCAGATGTAAATCAAGTTGCGTCTTTAATTCCGCGAATTTCAATTTTCTCACTACTCGGATCGACATCAATCAACCACTCTGATTTGACACATGTATCGATCCCCCTGATAGAATTAAGTAACTTAAAATCTCGAACAAGGATCGAAATACAGATGTATTATATCATACTCGTTCACGCGCACGTTAATCAGCTTATTAATCAAATTGAGACACGTACAGCCCGATTACCATAACAATGTTAACGATCGACGCGTTGCAGTTATCCTTCATCGACACGCCGCGTGTCCACGCCATCCGCCGAGCAGCGTTCTCTCGAATATCGCAGCTGTGTCCTTAAATTACGGAAGGACGAGACGAATCGAATATATCGCCAGTAAGC